AGTTGAGCTTCAGTCTCTGCCTCAAGGCATCTGTGGGAAGCCTTCTAGAATCTTCCAACCCACATAGATACCAACTGGATCCCATGATGGAGTTGAAATATCTAGAGTAGAAACATGACCCAATCTAGCCTTTCTCAATTCCTGAACTACAGGGCAAACCTTAATCCCTAAGTGGGAAGATTGTTACACAACTAGAACTGGGATAATAATTTAAAAGAACTGCCCAAGAACTAGTGTGTGTGTGTGTGTGTGTGTGTGTGTGTGTGTGTGTGTGTGTGTGTGTGTGTGTGTGTGTGTAGCACTCCTGGGGCTTGAACTTATGACTTTGCATCATTCTCATTCAGCTTTTATTTGCTATTCTACCATTTGAGCCTACTTCAAGTCCTTAGGAAATTCCTTCATTTCTTCTTTCCTTCCTTCCCTCTTTCTTTCTCTCCTTTCTTCTCTTCTTCCTTCCATCCTTTCTTCCTTCCTTCCTCCCTTCTTCCCTCCCTCCCTCTCTTCTTTCTCTTTCCTTCTTTCTTTTTTTCTTTCTTCTTTCTTTCTTTTTCCTTCCTTTCTTTCTTTCTTTCTTTCTCTTCCTTCCTTCATCCCTTCCTTCCTTCCTTCATCCTTTCTTTCCTTCCTTTCTACCTTCCTTCCTTTCTACCTTTCAGTAAGGGATTTGAACTCTGGGCCTTGCATTTGCTCAACTGGTGCTCTATTACTGAGATACACCTCTAGCCTAAGAACTCTTAGTAAACCTGTATTTGTAAAATAAACTCCTTACACAACGATAACCTTACTAATAAAATTTTACTGTCCTTTGTCTTCTAGATAAAAACTTGTAATGTTCATTTGGCCTTAAACATCTGCTCAGCATGTCAATGGTGTGAATTAACGAATGTTTGTACTTGACAACTGTTGTTGATGGCTAATTTGCCAAGGCACCATGTACTCAGCATGCAATCCATCAGGTTGAATGTAGGCATAAAGAAGGAGCCTATCCTCAGGCTGTAATCCTGCCTGCAATCCTAGCTACTAGGGAAGTAGAGATCAGAAAGAGCATTGTTCAAGACCAACCTGGGCACAAAGTGCCTGAGACTCCTATGTCAATCAATAAAAACATGGTGTGCTGACATATACCTGTCATTCCAGCTAGGTGGGAAGTGTAATAGGAGGAGCAAGGTCCGGGTCACCCCGAACCTAAATGCAAGATCAAATTGAAAAAATAATTAAAGTAAAAAGGGTTGTAAGGGCTTAGATTTGGCCTGAGTTGGACAGTGGCAGCCTAGCAAATGTAAATGAAAGCTCTGAGTTAAAATGTAAATGTAAAACCCGGTATATTACCACCAAAGAGAAAAGACAAAGAACAATGTCATTCACTAACTTTAAGGAGTGCATGGAGAAGGCCAGCACAAGCAAGATCTGGCAGGTGGCTGAAAATATAAGTATGGGGCTTCGAGAGGTGTGTGTTCCAGAACATTGTCCTCAGTCACGTCACTGGGCCTTGCCATTTGTTCTCTCCACTCACCAGAGAACCTTCCTTCATGCAGTGGAGCAACAGCCATCCATAGGGGTACTCAATGCCTGCACTCCCTAAATCCCTGTGTGATCTGCACAGCAGCCCCAACATTGTACACACAACTGTCAGGTGGTTTTATTATTGTTGTTGTTTGTAATCCTAGCTACTCAGGAGATTGAGATCTGAGGATCATGGTTCAAAACCAGTCTGGGCAGGTAAATCCATGAGACTCTTGTCTCCAACTAACCACCAAAAACCCAGAAGTGGCACTGTGGTTCAAGTGGTAGAGCTCTAGCCTTGAGCTGAAGAGCTCAGGGACAGCCCCAGGCCCAGAGTTCAAGTCCCACAACTGACAACAAACAAAGCAGTTTATGAATACAGTATACCTGGATCAATGTTACCCTTTCAACATTCTTATCCACCCACACCCTTCCCCACAACCCACTTTTCCCTCACTTTTCAGGATATGTATTGCAAGGTTCCCCCCACTTTAACAAAGCAGTTCATGTATAATCTGTGTCATCCCTTTAACCCCTTCACCCGATGTAGACCTGTCCTTCCAAGGAAACCTAAGTAATTTAGGCAGAATATGAATTCCTGATCTTCCTACCTCAGCCTCACTAGTCCTGGGCTAACAGTACTAGTGGCTTGAAATACTTTTCAATACTTGAACAAAATAATAAAGCCCATTAAAATTTTTTTTGGTTGTTTTTGCCAGTCTAAGGGTTTGAACTCAGGGCCTGGGCACTGTCCCAGTGTTCAAGGTAAGCACTCTACCACTAAGCCACATTCCCAGCCCCATTAAAATTTTTTTAAAAAGGACAAAAAGTCACAGAAAGGGTAAACTTGACGAAAGCATATTCCTTGCATGTATGGAACTATCACAGTAAACTCCTTTGTACAATTAATATATGCTGATTGAAAAATGCATTGAATTATGCCTTATTCTCTGTCTCCCTCCTTAGCCAGTTATCAGGTTATTGCCTTTCAGTTCTCATTCTGAGAAATAGACCTTATGCAAATGCTTTTCTTTGTGATGCTCTGTCATGAGAAGAGGTTGGATTTGCTTATTGGCTCTAATGGACAAGCACTTCAGGCTTCTACAGCATGCCATCTTCTGTTTTTTTTTGTTTATTTTTGGGTCCGGTTGTGGGGCCTGAACTCTGGGCCTGGGCGCTGCCCCTCAGCTCTTCGGCTCAAGGCTAGAGCTCTACCACTTGAGCCACAGTGCCACTTTTGGATTTTTCTTTTTGCTTATGTGGTGCTGAGGAGTCGAACCCAGGGCCTCAGGCATGCAAGGCAGGCGCTCTACCGCTGAGCCACCTTCCCAGCCCCACATGTCATCTTCTATAGCAAGTCTGACTTCTTCAATACCAGGCTCTTGCAGTCCACACAACATCTTCACCCCTGGATCCATGGGCTAGCTGCTTCTGCCTCCCCCTCAAGTGTTTTTTACAAAGTACCTCTATTTTAACACCTACCTGTGGACAGCTTTCCCGACTACCCTAAACAGTGGATTTCCAGCAAGTTCCAATGATGAAACATCACAGTAACTTTTCTCCCATTCAGGGTTTTAGACCTGTGCTCAACTAAGATCTGGGCATCAGCCAGGAGTGGAAGGTCATTCTTCCTTGGTAGTTTTATATCAGTCCTAGGTAGTGGATATTATATGTCATATCACACATTTATTATTTTGCATTAATTATACACATTTTATTTATATTGTATACTTACATTACATTTGTTATTATCCGATGATTATTCGATAATGTAAATTAGTAGGAATTTTGAGGTGAAGAAATCCTCTCCAATTGCCATAAAATATTTTAGTTCAAATTAACCTTGGAACATGCATCTTTCAATCAAATGGAAAATAATTTATGCAGAACAACTGGAAAACATTATTTTGTGTAGGCAGGACCATTAACAGGTATTGTCTTGTTAAAACTTCACCCACAGGGGCTGGGAAGGTGGCTCAGTGGTAGAGCGCTTGCCTTGCATGCCTGAGGCCCTGGGTTCGATTCCTCAGCAACACATAAGCAAAAAGAAAAAAGCCAGAAGTGGCGCTGTGGCTCAAGTGGTAGAGCATTAGCCTTGAGCTGAAGAGCTGAGGGACAGTGCACAGGCCCAGAGTTCAGGCCCCATGACTGGACCTCCCCCCCAAAAAAAACAAAAAAAACTTCACCCACATTCACTCTCAGGAGATAGGTCTCAGATGAAAGAAAAGATTAAGGAGTCAGGGGGGGGCTGGGAAGGTGGCTCAGTGGTAGAGTGCTTGCTTTGCATGCTCGAGGCCCTGGGTTCGATTCCTCAGCACCACATAAGCAAAAAGAAAAAAGTCGGAAGTGGTGCTGTGGTTCAAGTGGTAGAGCGCTAGCCTTGAGCTGAAGAGCTGAGGGACAGCGCCCAGGCCTGGAAAGTCTGTGTGACTCATCTCCAATAAATCACCAGAAAATCGGAAGTTGTGTTGTGGCTCAAGTGGTAAGAGTGCTAGCCTTGAGCTGAAGAGCTCAGGGACAGTGCGCAAGCCCCACGATCAACAAAAAAGATGAAAAAAAGATTAAGAAAACATGGTCATGGACTTTATTCAAAACAGAATTATTATTGTTATCATCATCATCATCACCACCACCACCATCATCAGTTCTAGGCTTGATCTCAGGACCTTGGCACTGTCCTGAGCATTTTTGCTCAAGGCTAGCACTCTACTACATTGAGCCACTTTGAGCCATTTACAGTTTTTCGATGGTTAATTGGAAATTAAGGTCTCCCGTTCCACCCGGGCTAGCTTTGAACTACAATCCTCAAATCTCATCCTCCTGAATAGCTGGGATTATATGCATGAGCCATTAGCACCAGACAAATATCTTTTATAAATTAGCCAAAATCAACTGTGCCAAACTGAGAGATTCATTGCTGGCTTAGAAGTCAATGCAGATAACCCCAAGTCATCAGGAATACTGTATTTTATTATCAAGTAACAAACTCTGGGGGCCATTATGCTAGTTACCATCACACTTCAAAGTAGACACAAGGAGGAGATTTTGCTGGGGAATATCTTCCAGGCTTAATAGTTGTTTTGCTTCCATGGGATAAAGGGATCTTCAAGGAGAAAAGGTTCCACTCTTCCTCACCAACTGTCAAGACTTTCAACTGCTCTTCTTCCGTGTAATTGGTCCCAGAATACTTTCCAACACTCAACTGCCAACAGAACCAATCACGTCATTTGCTCGCTATGATCGCAGTGGACTTAGACCCGTGGGGTTAGAGACTTGGGTAGATTTCGTCTGAGCCTCGAGAGTGCTGGTTGGCGGATCCCGCGCGCCCTAGGCCCCGGTAGGTTGGAGGCTGGTGGTGCCAACAGCGGCGACCAGGGCCGCACAGCGGCGCCTCCCGACTGTAGCCCCGCCCGCGGGTGGCTCCAAGCCCTGGACTACACTTCCCAGAAGGCTGTGCTCCGGGGGCGGCGGCCAGGGACCAGAGCGGGGCTAGCAAGAGAAGCCATAGTCTTGCCGGCCGCGCGGAAGGGGCCATTCATCCCGGGCTCGGTCCTGCAGAGATGGTCGGGCTCCTGCTCCTGCTCCCGCTGCTCCTGCTGCCCTTTGTCCTGTATGTGGCTGCGCCCCAGATCAGGTGTGTGTCCGCGGGAGGTGCTCAGCCTTTGCGGCGGGAGGGGGTGAGGAGAGCGGGAATGCTCCGGCGGGCGGGGGGAAGGGGTCCCCCGACGGCGGAGACCTGGGGTTGGGGCAGGCGAGACCCGGGGTCCCAGGCCGTCGGGAAAAGGCTCGGGGCTCTGAGCATCCCACTTGGCTTCTCCGGGCCCCTCGCCACCCGTACCGCCCGCCGTCGACTCCAGGGAGCCCCCAGGACACGGCTACTCCGGACGCTGGGGTTTACCGCTTGGGGCGGGCTTCAGACCCTAGAATAGGATGCGTCCCCCCCCCCACTCCCACCCTTGCCCCCCGCTGGCGAGGTACAAAGGAGACGTCTCCGAGGGACGTGATTGTGAGACCTCCACCCCCCCCCCCCCCCCCCCCCGCTCGTCGCTGCGGGGACGCGGGGTGGCGGGTTGGGATGGATCTTGTGCTCAGTGCTGAAGGGCTGAGAGGGGGAGGACGGACGAGGACAGGGTGGGGTCTCTTGGCTTGGTCCTGCTCAGCCGAAGGCTGGCCTGAGGGCCCTGAGAATTAGCAGCCTGCTGATTGGCTCTGGGTCAATCACCAGTAGTGACGAAGAGCCAACCAGTAACTGAAGAGACCCACTCCTGCCACGAGGTTATGGCTCCTGACGCGGTGCCCGCTCTCGCTGTTATCTCTTATGTAGAAAGACTGATCCGTCTAGGCTAACCTGCCTTCCCCTTCCTCCTTTCCTTCCTTGTAATCTATCCTCCCTCCAGTGGTGACTCTACTCGTTGTATTTTTCCCCCCTCCCCTTTGAATACCCTCTGCTCCCAGTGCTAGGCGCACGTGGGTGTCATACTCAGAAACATAGGCTTTCTATCCATTTTCACCACGAGGTCCTCTTAAAGTAGGAAAGTGGAACCAGAAGTAGAAAGAGTCCAGTGAGATATGAGAAAGATTATATTCCTTAGGATGTTCTCTCAAACCTAGCTATCTCACTGGAGCCAGGCATGAGCTGGCTTTCGTGGTTGGTTATCTTTCATCTCTGCTAATTAAGGAGAAAGGAAAAGTACAGGTTCCTAACATTTGTCCTTCCTGGAGCTGCAGCTGAAGGGATGTGGAAGGTTGTGAGGTAAGGGGGCTTTGTCCTTGTCCTTCCTTTGAGCAGGAAGGGTCAGGTTGGTCAACACCATCGGTTGGTTTGCCTGAGCACAGGCTTCAGTGGCTTCAGGCTTCAGTGTGTATTGAAATTCCCATTTCCGAGAAAGGCTGTAATTCTCTTGAGCAACGTATCTTTCAGTCAACAAACTGTTTTAGACCAAGGGTTGTAGACAAAAGAATAAGAACTGCTCATCCATGTATGTGCATTTGTTCGTTTGGAAAGGCAATAGAATATAATGCTTAGGAACCAGGACTAATTAGGCAAATCAGTTTTTGAATCATTTCTTTACTTTGTCCTTAACTCTTTTTGTTGTGGTTATTGTTGTTGCTTGGTTGTTTTTGTGGCCCTAGTGATCAAACTCAAGGCCTCTGAGCTCCATCCTAGCCTCCTGCTTTATTTGTAAAGGTATTGATGTGAGTGTGGTGGTTTTCTGCTTGTTAGTTTTTGCGCCTGTCCTGGAGCTTGAACTCAGGGCCTGGTACTGTCCCTGAGATGCTGAGGTTTTGTTGTTGTTGTTGTTGTTGTTGTTTGTTTTTTGTAGTTTGTTGGAGATGAGGCTTCAAACTGCTATCCTCATATCCTGAGTAGCTATGATTACAGGCATAAGCCACTGGCACCCACCTGTGTTTTTGTTTTTATTGTTTTGTCCCAGATTCACAGGCTTTCTAATGTGAGCTCTTCAGATTGGATTTACCATTTTAAGACCATTGAATTCTAGGTATTAGTAGATGGGACAAGTAGACACAAGTTCTTTCCTCCTCTACACCGAATCTTGTGATTTCCTAATCCAAAAAATGCCTGAGAGTTCAAAGAGGTGCCTGGCACCTCAAATACTCAACTAGTTCTTGTGCTGTAGGCAGTTCCTCTAAGTTTTGCTCTGTATGAGAGCCACTTTTGTCCTTAGCAAGAAGGAAAATTTGTTTTGCCTTGTTTGAGGCAACATCTCATTATGCAGTCTAAGCTAGCCTCAAACTTTTATTTTTCTTGTGCCAGTACTAGGACGTGAACTCAGGGTCTGGGTGCTGTCCCTGACCTTTTTTGGCTCAAGGCTAGCACTCTATGGACTTTCCTCCTGAGGCTGGCTTTGAAATTTGATCCTCAGAGCCCAGCCTCCCGAGTAGCTAGGATTATAAGTATGAGCCACCTGTGTTCAGCTCCTGAGCTGCTTTTTGCTTAAAGCTGGTGTTCTACTACTTGAGCTCCATTTCCAGTGTTTTAGTGGTTAGAGGTAAGAGTCTCATGGACTTTCCTGCATGGCCTGGTTTCAGACCATGAGCCTCAAATCTCAGCCTTCTGAGTAGTTAGGATTACAGGAATGAGCCATTGGTGCTGGGCAAACTTCAAACTCTTGGTCTTTCTATCTTATGCTCCCTGGTGCTGAGATTACAGGTGTGCACCACTGGGTTAAAAGGCAGAGAACTTGTTTTCTTCTTTCCTCCCAATTATCCTTAAACCTATAGTATCTATGTGCTCTCCATGTCTGCAGGAGGATGCTGACCTCTGGGGTGTGTACATCTACTGTCCAGCTTCCAGGGAAGGTAGCTATAGTCACCGGAGCAAACACAGGCATTGGGAAGGAGACAGCCAAAGAACTGGCTCAAAGAGGCAAGTTTATCTACTCTCAAACCCCTCCTGCTACTGCTGTTTTTACCTCTTATGGTGATAGCCATTTGTTTCTTCCCAGTTTCAGAAGGCAGGAACATTCCATGCACGCCACTGAATGTACTACTATGAATTTGTTATAATGCTCCATATATTGGGCACTTAACAAATATTATTGATCACAACACTCAACATCTGTGAGGTTTCTAACAGTCAGAAACAAAGCTGACAATTTGTCTTTCACATGTTTGACAGGAGCCCGAGTATATCTAGCTTGCCGGGATGTGCAAAAGGGAGAATTGGTGGCTAAGGAGATCAAAGGCTTGACCGGGAACCAGCAGGTGTTGGTGCGGAAACTGGACTTGGCTGATACTAAGTCTATTCGAGCCTTTGCCAAGGACTTCTTAGCAGGTAAGTGTAGAACCAGCCACTATATTGTGGGTATCATGGTCAAAATGACAGGCTTAGCTTTTAGCTTTTTTTTTTGCCACTCCTGGGGCTTGACCTCAGGGCCTGGGCACTGTCCCTGAGCTTCTTTTGCTCAAGACTAGAACTCTTAACAATTGAGCCACAGCTGTACTTCTGGCTTTTTCTGTTTATGTGAGGAATTGAAACCAGAGCTTCATGCATGCTAGGCAAGCACTTTACCACTAAGCCACATTCCAGGCTTAGCTTTTAACATATAGAAATACTGGACAAATAGCCAAAAAGATTTACAGTAGAACTCATAATGATCATATGGACAAGATTTATATCATAGGGATAGCCTCCCAAGACAGAAGTAAACAGGAGTCCAAAAAGAGCACTGAGCCAAAGCTGCAGTGAGAAATTTCACAGGAATATTAGAATTTACTGTGGGCTTTTTAGGTCCTGATGTCTACATCCTCATGAAGAGAGGCTTGGAGATGAGGCTTCAGGCCCTTGAAATCTGGAGCTGTATATAGAAGGTGGAAATTCTTACTTGGTCACGGTAGAGGGAATGAAACTCAAACTCCGGCCACCAGCTCAGGGCTCCGCTAAAGAAGCACCTCTTCGAGCTGAGGTGGTAGTTTGCCTGCCTAACAAAAGCAAAATTCTGACTTCAAACCCCAGTACTACTCCCTCCACCCAAAAAAGAAAGTCATCTGTTAGAAATTAGAATCCCAGGCTGGTATCATTTGGGATCTAGAGTGCTCATCAGATTGTGTAGGGTACTAATTAATTAATTTGTGCAAGAATGTGGAGCTGACACATTAATGTAGTATCTCTCAAAAGGAAATTCAAGAGTACTCTGAAAGCATAACTGCTTATAACTCAGGTAAAACAACATCTTTATATGGTGTGTAATTATAAAGAAATGAACCACAGAAGCTGGGCACCGGTGGCTCACACCTATAATCCTAGCTACTCAAGAGGCTGAGATCTGAGAATCACAGTTCAAAGCCAGCCCAGCAGGAAAGTCCCTGAGACTCTCATCTCAAATTAGCCACCAGAAAACCAGAAGTGGCACTGTGGCTCAAGAGGTAGAGTGCTCGCCTTGAGCTGGAGAGTTCAAGAGGACAGTGCCCAGGCCCAGAGTTGAAGCTCCACGACTGACAAAAATAAAAATAAAGCCGGGCACCAGTGGCTCACGCCTATAATCCTAGCTATTCAGGAGGCTGAGATCTGAGGATCTAGGTTCAAAGCCAGCCCGGGTAGGAAAGTCCGTGAGACTCTTATCTCCAATAAACCACTAGAAAACTGGAAGTGGTGCTGTGGCTCAAGCAGTAGAGTGCTTGCCTTGAGATGAAGAGCGCAAGGACAGCGCCCAAACACAGAGTTCAAGCCCCAAGACTGACCACAAAAAAAATTAAATTAAAAAATAAATAAAAAATGAACCACAGAGTTGCCAGGGTTCTTTATGGGCCAAGTCTTACCAACAGGGTTATGTGGTACATTCTTTTTATTGTGACTCTGGAGTCTTTTCACTCAGCTTGTAAATACTTTCTATTGGGAGAAGCAGATGGAACACTCTCCATTGCAGTGAGTGAACAAGTATTTCTTAAGCTAGAAAGACTGGAAAAGCTGTTTACTGATATAAAATGGAATTCTGCCTTGTTGTAAGAGTATATTAGATGCAACTAGGGCCTACGTAACCTTGACAGAAGTAGAGAAAATCCTGCATCTCTCCTTTTTTTTTTTTTTTGGTGCACTAGTACCAGGGCTCGACCTCCTTGGCCTCTTGCTCTCACTTGGCTTTTTCACTCACATTGGGTATGCTACCACATACCTCCAGTCTAGGATTTTGCTGGTTAATTGGAGATAGAGCCTTTTAGACTTTTCTGTTAGGACTGGCTTTGAACTTTGATCCTCAGATCTCAGTCTTCTGAGTCTCTAGGCTTATAGGCATGAGCCACCAGTGTCTAGCATGCATCCCCACTCACAAAGTCTGGGTTGTGAGGCAGATTTGTAAGATTACAACCTATGGCTGGCCATATGCTCCATGTTTCATCTTTTCCTTGTAGAGGAAAAACACCTCCATATTTTGATCAACAATGCGGGAGTGATGATGTGTCCCTACTCTAAGACAGCGGATGGCTTTGAGATGCACATTGGAGTCAACCACTTGGGTAAGAAATCTGGCATCATCACAAAGCCACAGGGAACCTAAAGTTCTCCCTGGAAAAAGGTAGGGGTCAGATTTAGTTACTTTTGTGGTCTGATTAGAGCACTGGGCCATAATAGAATAATAAGTAAAAAATAAAGTGTGCCTGAAAGCTGAGGGGTAAACCTGAAGCCTGCTGTGGGTTCTTTCTGCTTTTCAACCTGTAATTCAGATTTGATTTACTGTGGGGGCGCTTCTGAAAAACCTGATTGCACTGGGGACTGTGTTACTTTCTTAGAAGTGATGTTTATGCAAAGGCTCTAGACCTTGTAGGGACCAAATTTTATTGCATTTTTCTTCAGGTTTTTTTTTTTTTTAATGAGTGTGTCCTGATTGCACAAAATCATGGGTTCCATTATGGCATTTCATGCATGTGTGCAATGTCCAATGATTACATTCACCCATTATCCCCCCCTTGTTATCCCTTCCTCCTTTCCAGTGGTTCCTTCCACCGCACCCTTTCTCATTAACTTTTGTTAATGAGGTAAGGTGGAATCTCAATGTAGGTTTTTTGTTTTGTTTTGTTATGAATTAGCTTAAAATAATTATGCAGAGAGGGATTTCATTGTTTCAATCAATCTCAATCCCTCTATCCTCTATCCTCTACCCTCTATCACTCAATGTAGTTTTGATTTGTATTTCCATTATGGCTAAACATGGTGAATAACATTTTGTCTCTCTCCATCTCCCTCTCCCTCTCTCATTCTCTCTCTCTCTCTCTCTCTATATATATATATATACACACACACATACATAGTTTTTTTTTTTGCCAGTCTTGGGGCTTGAACTCTGGTCTTGGGCTTTGCTCAAAGTGAACACTCTACCACTTAAGCCACATCACCACTTCTGGCTTTCTTGAGTAGTTTATTGCCGATAAGACTCTCATGGAATCTCCTGCCCAGGAGACTGGAAGCTATCATCCAGATCTCAGCCTCTCGCATAACTAGGATTATAGGTGTGAGCCACTGGCACCTAGTTTATCTGTACTTTTTTTTTGGGGGGGGTCATGGGGCCTGAACTCTGGGCCTGGGCACTGTCCCTCAGCTCTTCAGCTCAAGCCTAGTGCTCTACCACTTGAGCCACAGTGCTACTTCCGGCTTTTTTCTTTTTGTTTATGTGGTGCTGAGGAATCGCACTCAGGGCCTCATGCATGCAAAGCAAGCACTCTACCACTGAGCCACCTTCCCAGCCCCTCATCTGTACTTTGAGAGCTGTTTAGTTCATTCGTACATAGTTTATTGATTGGGTAATTTGCTCTTTTTTTTTTTTTTTAGTTCTTTATGTATTCTGGATATTGATCCCACTGGATGAATAGAGGCTGATAGAGGTTTCTCACATTGTGTGTAGGCTATCTCTTTGCTATAGTGTTTCCTTTTTCATGCAGAAGGTATTTAATCTCATTAGTCAGTTCCTGAGTTAATAGAGTTCTGTTCAGAAAGTCACTGCATATGCCGAGATCTTGAAGTGTTTGTCCTATGTTTTCCTCTAGTGGTTTCAAGTTTCAAGTCTTCCAATAAGGTCATGGATCCTTCTTTGAGTTGAGTTTTGTATGGGGACATAGATGGGGATCCATCTCCAGTTCCTTCACATGGACATCCAATTTTCCACCATCCTTAGCTGTACAGGCACCACTACTTCCTTACCCTCATATAGGTCATGAACTCAAGGTCATCCTGATTATCTTCCACAGGTCATTTCCTCCTGACTCATCTGCTACTCGAGAAACTGAAGGAGTCAGCCCCATCAAGAGTAGTAAATCTGTCTTCTTTGGCCCATTACTTGGGAAGGATCCACTTCCATAACCTGCAAGGGGAAAAGTTCTACAGTGCAGGTCTGGCCTACTGTCACAGCAAGTTAGCGAACATTCTCTTCACCCGGGAACTGCACAGGAGGCTGAAGGGTGAGTGGGGATAAATGAGTGTGGAGGCATGAGTGTGTGGAAGGCAGCTAAGGCCTCAGAATAGGAATTGTCTTTAGAGCCCCTCTCCTGGACAGGACCTGCTTCCATGATTATAACTGTATTAGGTGTGGTTATATTAACCTCTCTGGGCCTAAGCTGATTCTGTAAAATGGAGGTGTGAACTTCCAGGAGTGGTGCTTGTGAGGCCACTGTGAGCCTGGAGTCACAAGTAGGGGTCAAATGTTTCTTCACAACCTTTGCTCTGTTTGGCTATTTGGTACAAATCAAGTCCTGTCTTCCCTCTCTTTTTGGTACCCCAGGCTCAGGTGTAACAGGGTATTCTGTTCACCCCGGCACAGTCAAATCTGAACTGATTCGGCACTCAACTGTCATGAGTTTGATGTGGTGGCTTTTTTCCTTCTTCATCAAAACTCCTCAGCAAGGAGCCCAGACCAGCCTGTATTGCGCCGTAACAGAAGGTCTTGAGAGTCTAAGTGGCAAACATTTCAGGTATGAGTATATCTGTCTTTGAGAATGAGATTTTGTTACCCAAAGGAAATCTGGTTTTGTCTGGTATGCCATGCCTTTTGAAAAGTACAGTGTCTTAATTTAGAAAAGAGTTAAATTGCTTTTGTCTTTTTTTTGTCTTCTGGTCTGAGACTGGGACTCAAACTCTGTACTTGATATTTTCCCTCACTGGCTAATGCTTTACCATGTCTAGTCTATTGTCTAGAAATGAACACAAGTCTATTTTGGTTGAAGCCTGAGGCCTTCGTACTACTGGCTGTTCTTTCTGCCTATTCTACTAATCTACTGTCTGTGCCTCAGGGTTTGCCTGTAATTGGACATGTCACATAAGGGTAGCATATGGCATGTAGTATTCAGTGACTTTCATTTAGAATATGAAATCTGTGCTTATCTATTCTGTTTTATTTGTATTTTTGTTTGCATTAGTGTTTGGACTTTAGGGTATTAGAGTTTTGTACTTGGTAGAAGGAGCCCTTCTTTCTTGTACCATAACTATATACCTTTTTAAATTTTTTTTTTGGTTGATCATGGGGCCTGAACTCTGGGCCTGGGGTGCTGTCCCTCAGCTCTTCAGCTCAAGGCCAGCACTCTACCACTTGATCTACAGCGCCACATCTGGTTTCCTGGTGGTTTATTGGTGATAAGAGTCATGGACTTTCCTGCCAGGGCTGGGGCTGGCTTTGAACTGTGATCCACAAGTCTCAGCCTCCTGAGTAGCTAGGATTACAGGCGTGAGCCACCGCGCCCGACTCCTTTTTTAGTTTTTAAATTATTTTTCAGGTAGGGACTTAGGTTTTTGTCTAGACTCATACCACAACCCTCCCACCTATGGCCTCTTGTGTAGTTGGGACCACAGGTATGTGCCATCATGCTTATTGAGATGTGGTCTCACTAACTTTTTGCCTGGTCCTTCATCAAGCCACAACCTTCCCAATCTCCATTTCTTGAGCATGTAGGGGTTTACAGGAGTGAAGCACCATGCCTAGCATAGTTTTGTTTACTTATTTATTAGATAGGGTCTTACCATGTAATATAGGTGGTTCTTGAATTCATGATCTTCCTGCCTCAGGAAGTACTAGAATTCCAGGCATATGCCTCACTTGGCTATTTTTTTTTCCCAAAATGACAAATTTCTTTTATTTTTTTTTCTTCTAAGTGAAAAATTTAAACATTAAAAAAAATTTAAAGTCATTGTGGATGTTTTGAGGCAAAAAGTTATTTCATTAAAAATGAAACCTATAACACTGACATTTAAAAAATTTTGTGTCAGATAAAATACTCAAATGATTAATTTGTACATAATATCTAGAGAACTTGTAAGTGGTAGTTTTCTCTTATGGTACTAATCTTTCATTTTTTTCTTGCATATTTATTTTTAGCTTTTCAGAGTTTGACATCTCAAGGGACATATGCTAAATAGGGAAAGGCAGTATATTCCATTTGGCTTCTCTGAACTGAAGAAGCACCACAGAAACTATTATTTGGATTGCCCTCTCATGATATTTGTATATTTATTTTATCCCTTTCAATGTGATTTCATTGTTTCAAATGTCTTAATCATCATGTCACATTGACAAGAACTAACTGGCCTTTGGTTTCAAATGCATTTGACATTTGAGTTAAGGAAAGGATAAGGAATATGAATAGATGCCACTGCAGATTAAGGAGTCATCTTTCATCACCAGCTACCTGGGCTGCAGTTTGATTGGGTCACATGTGCATATGAGATTGGCCACCTCAAAATCCTGGATTTTTTTCCAGTACCTATCCCGAACTCTGGTCTGTTTAAAGAATGATTGGGGTTAGAATATTGCTTGATTTTTAATTACATTTCCTTCGTTCCTTCCTTTCTTCCTTCCTCTTTTCTTTCTTTTTCTCTCTTTCTCTCTTTCTTCCTTTCTTTCTCCCCCCATTTCTATAGTCCAGAAGTCTTTTATTTTTTTACATCTCTTAGGCCATGAATTCATAGGGAATAGGTTCCAATAGGTCAGGCTCCTTTCTGTTGGTTCTTACAAAGTGTGTTTCTCTGGGTGGGGCAGGCTGGACCAGCTTCAGTTGAACCCAGGTTCCTTTCTCTTTGGCTTCCTTTTTCTGGTCATTTTCTTTCACTCGTTTCAGGAAGCTATCTCGCCTCAATTTGCACATTAATTCTCTTGGCAAGGATCTTTTTTTTTTTTGGGTTCGGTCATGGGGCCTGAACTCTGGGCCTGGGCACTGTCCCTCAGCTCATTAGCTCAAGGCTAGCGCTCTACCACTTGAGCCACAGTGCCACTTCCGGCTTTTTTCTTTTTGCTTATGTGGTGCTTAGGAATCGAACCCAGGGCCTCAGGCATGCAAGGCAAGCGCTCTACCACTGAGCCATCTTCCCAGCCCCTTGGCAAGGATCTTGCCCTTAACTTGCTTGTTCACAACAATGCCAACAGCATGCTGGGTAACATTATAGACCTTTCCAGTTTTGCCATGGTAACATTTGTGGGGCATTCCTTTTTGAGCAGTACCCATCCCTTTGATGTCTACAGTATCACCCTTCTTGTAGATTCTCATGTATATGGCCAAAGGAACAACTCCATGTTTCCTGAAGGGCCTAGAGAACATGTATCAAGTATCTCTCCTCTTTCCCTTTGTGTTTGTCATTTTGGCAACTTACTGGAAGATGGCGGTTCTGACCAAAAAGTTTGTCTCTGAGCTGCTTTTGCTGAAGACAAGTATACTACCTTGAGCCACAGCTCCACTTCCAGATTTTTGGTGCTTAATTGTAGATGAGTCTCATGTACTTTCCTGCCTGGGATGGCTTTGAACCTTGATGCTTGGATCTCAGCCTTTTGAATAGCTGGATTACAGGCATAAGCAACCAGCACCCAGCTTTTCATTATATTTTCTTGCTGAAAATGGCCTTAAAACCAAACTTGCCATATATTCGTTATTTATTAACGTATTTGTGTTTGTACTTTTGGGCTATGAATAATCATATATATATATATTTTTTATTTTTTGGGGGTCCAGTTGTGGGGCCTGAACTCTGGGCCTGGGTGCTGTCTCTCAGCTCTTCAACTCAAGACTAGCGCTCTACCACTTGAGCCACAGCGCCACTTACGGCTTTTTTTTTTTCTTTTTGCTTATGTGGTGCTGGGGAATCGAACCCAGGGCCTCATGCATTGCAAGGCAAGCGCCCTACCACTGAACCATCTTCCCAGCCCCTGTCATATATATTTTTTATACGGACATTTATCTTGGGTATATGCAAGTGGAATTTCCAGGTCATCTAGAAACTATGTTGAGGAAGAGGTTCCTCTTTCTCCATATCCTAGGCAACAGTAGTTACTGTCTGTCCTTTTGATTTTACCCATCCTAGTGTATAGGAAGTAATATTTTGCCATTTTCATTTTCCTGCCAATGTTGTTGAATATTTTGCATGTACATAGTTCATTTCTGTATCTTTCCAAATCCTTTACTTCTTGTTCTTGTGATTCTCTTAAATTTTTTTTTTTTTGGTCTGGTTGTGAGGCCTGAACTCTGGGCCTGGGCACTGTCCCTCAGCTCTTCAGCTCAAGGCTAGCGCTCTACCACTTGAACCACAGTGCCACTTCTGGCTTTTTTGTTTTTGCTTATGTGGTGCTGAGGAATCGAACCCAGGGCCTCATGCATGCAAGGCAAGTGCTCTACCACTGAGCCACCTTTCCAGCCCCCCTCTTAAATTTTTCAATTGTAAGAATTTTTTTTTATTGTGAAAATACCGTACAGAGGAGTTACAATTACATGGGCACAGTTGTAAGAATTCTTTTCAGTCCAGATATGAATCCTTTATCAGACATATGGTTTGTAAATATATTCTTTCATCCTATGGATTTTTTTTTAAATTTCTTACTGGTATCCTTTGAAGTTCAAAAGCTTTAATTTGGGGTGTGTGTGTGTGTGTGTGTGTGTGTGTGTGTGTGTGTGTGTGTGTGTGTGTGTGTACATACACAGAGCCATACACATAGGCAAGTATTCTACCACTAAGCTTTAATTTGGGTGTGTGTGTGTGTGTGTGTGTGTGTGTGTGTGTGTGTGTGTGTGTGTGTGTGTGTGTGTGTGTGTGTGTGTGTGTGTGTGTACATACACAGAGCCATACACATAGGCAAGTATTCTACCACTAAGCCCCTAAAATATTTACTTTTGATGAAATCCATCTTATTTATTTTTGTCACTTGGGCTGTTGGTGTCATATCTAAGAAACTATTGCTTTACCTAAGCAAAGAAAAAAAAGTCTATGTTGTTTCTTCCAACAGTTTCATAGTTTTAGCTTATATCTAGGTATATGGTCCGTTTTGAGTTAATTTTTGTATGTGGTATGTTATAGAGGCCCAAGTATGTTCCTTTATATGGTACAGAGGTTTATTTGATAGAAGTCTGGACCTATAAGAAGCAATTTTTATTTTATTTATTTTTTGCCAGTCCTGAGGCTTGAACTCAGCCTGGGCACTGTCTCTGAATTTATTTGCTCAAGTCTAGCGCTCTACCACTTGAGCCACAGCACCACTTCTGGCCTTTTCTATTTATGTGGTACTAGGGAATCAAATCCAGGGCCTTCTGTATGCTTGGCAAGCATTCTACCACTAAGTCACGTTCCCAGCCTCCCTTTTTAAATTTTTATTATTTATTTATTGTGTTGGTTGTGTTGCCTAAATTCTGGGCCTGGGTGCTGCCTTTGAGCTCTTCAGCTCAAGGCTAGCCCTCTACCACTTGAGCCACAGCGCCACTTCCTGCTTTTTCTGCTTGTGTGGTGCTGAGGAATCAAACCCAGGGCCTCATGCATGCAAGGCAGTACTCTACCACCGAGCCACCTTCCCAGCCCTGTTTTTATGTTTTTAAATACTGGTTTGGGGGTTTGAACTCAGGGCCTTGCACTTTTTTTTTTTTCTAACAGTTGGTGCTCTAGCACTAGAGCCATACTTCCAGCTGTGGCTTTCTGCTGGTTAACTGAAGATAAGAGTCTCTTTGGATTAGCCTGTCCAGGCTGGCTCCTCCATACCCAGTCTTTAGATCTCAGCCTCCTGAGTAGCTAAGATTGTAGGCATGAGCTACCAGTACCTGGGCAGAAGCAAACTTTTGTACACTATTATTTGAACATATATAATAAGCTTTTTGAAAATTCAAGCCCAGTTACCACCACCCCCCAAAAAAAAAAATAAAAAGAAAGCTTGGAGAGTGAAGAAATAGGACAGCACTGGCTGTGTGAAGCACCTGGAGGACACCTGTGATCTCTATTTTGTTTGGGGTTTTGGTCATATTTATGACAAGCAGAGAAGGCTCCATTATTAATCCTCTTCAATTATTTTTCCTCTTTGTTTTCTAGTGACTGCCAAGTGGCATGGGTTTCTTCCCAGGCTCGAAATGAAACGGTAGCAAGGCGGCTATGGGACGTCAGCTGTGACCTGCTGGGTCTCCCAGTGGATTGATGGGTCATCATGGTTAGACCCAAAAGAAGACAATAGCAGAGATGTAATGTCCTCTGCGAAAAATCTCCTCTCAAGGTGGCCAAAACTTTGACCACAAAGACCAGAACTTTCTAGCCTTGCTTGCTTCATGTCCACTTCAAACCCAGTACACTGCCAGATTTATCCAGACTTAACTTTTTTCCTGTTACCTACCAGAGTTCCTAGCTATGTCATTGGAAAAGACACCCTTCCTATGTCCAGCACAGCTCATAGCTTCCTTCTGAGACCTAATACCTAAAAACATCAAACCTTTGGCAGGGTTGATGTATGAAGATATGGGCTAGTTTCTTCATTCTTTATTCACAACATACTTCCTTACATCCAACCAGTCTTCACTTTGAGTGACTTTGCAACCTCAGCTGAGTTCCACAATTCACAGTGGCTGCATCACCAACACTGGAATTCTTTCAGGAAAACTTACTGCATCTGGATTGTGGCCTGGACTTACTACTTATCCAGACAGCCCAACTCTACTGTGGTCCAGGCACTTTCCCATGGCTAAACCACAGAAGAGCTTCCTTTCCTAAAAAGTTTGCGAAATTTGAGGGAAGGCTGTCATTTTCCTACAGTATTCTCAGACCAATAAGCAGATAAAATAAAAAGAGCATTATGAGAAGATAGGCCTCTTGGCTTCAAACTGACCCCAGACCCATGGAAACCTCCCTTTTGTGCCTTAGTCTCTCTTAGAAAACCATAAAAAGAAATGAAAGACTTTTCAGTCATTGTATATAAATCTGTGTGTCTTCTTATGTATTTTCACAAAACTCTTAATGGCCACAAAGCAACAGTATGAAACTAGAGCCTCCTATAGCTAAACGATCAGATATCTACCAAGCCAAAGACATTGGTACAAAGACCCAATGAACTGCAAAGGTAAGGAGACTATATGTGAATAATCAGTCAAAAAGAAGTAAGAGTAGCAGGGATGAAATTTAAAAAGTAAAAAGACAACAACAAAAAAAAACTAGAAGTCTGAGAAATGTATAACATGAAGGTTCTAGTTAAGGACTTAGGAAAACAATTGAAAGGTAATACACAGCTATAGAAGAATTGAGCATCCTAGTTAACAAGACTGATGTAGCACCATCTTAATTGGTCCATAAGGCAGAAAAAAAAAAACACTTGTTTGGGGGTAGTGCTGGGGTCTAAACTCTCAGGGACTCATAATTGCAAAGCTAGTGTCCTACCACTTGCTCCCTTTCCCTCCCTCCCAGTTATTTACAGAAACTATTCTAAGACCTAACGGTGGTAACTAAAGTCAATTTAATAATCTTTCAGGACATAACCTTGTTAAAAAGATTAAGATGTTAGTTTGGAGCCTGGATGTCTAACTTGGTGGTATAGTGCTTTCTTGGGCTATAAGGCCTTGGGTTCATTTTAGCCCTAGCTCTGTGACAGAAAAGATAAAATGTGAGCTTACTAAAACTCCATTTTATTTGGAAAGCTTTTGCCAAAAATAATGCTAACCTAGGAAGTCTGAGTAAGTGGAAATGTTACCATTACTTGCTTGGAGACTGTACAGATTAACAATTATACTTTAACTTTGGTAGGAAGAGTTTTAAGCTAGTCTTTGTGTCTTGTATTTGTACATCAATCGAACTTTTTTCTTTTTTGCCAGTCCTGGGGTTTGAACTGAGGGGTCCTGGGCACTGTCCTTGAGCTTCTTTTTGCTCAAGGTTATCACTCTACCACTTGAGCCACAGTGCTACTTCCAGCTTTTTCTTTTTATGTGGTACTGAGGAATTGAACCCAGGGTTTCAGGCATGCTAGGCAAGCACTCTACCACTAAGCCATATTCCCAGCCCTCGAACTTGTTTTGACCATTAATCACTATTTAGAAATGGTCATTTCATGGGAAAACTGGAAAAGTCTAAATAGTAGTGCAATGAATAAGCATTAATAATGAGTGCTTTACTTCACTTATACCAAATTGTCAATAAGAAATGTTCTTGATTATCATGTTTTTTTAAGTGGTTTTTTTTTTAAAACCACTTTTTAAAAAAGTATGCAGTTTTCAATCTAAAGGATAAATCGTCTCAGAATCCAACTTTTAGTACAACCACAATTCCTATGTCATTAATTTGGGGTCTTTTGATAATTTGCACCTCCCTCCCCCATGATCTTCTATGACACAGTTCAAACATCACCTTCTGCATTTTTGATTGTCCCTGGCTCTCCTTTTTTTGCTCTTTTTGTACCAACCTTTTATTTACTAGAATACAATACATTGCCATCAACTTTACTTTTTTTTTGTTGGTCATGGGGCTTGAACTCTGGGCTGTTCAGGCTCTTCAGCTCAAGGCTAGCGCTCTACCACTTGAGCCACAGCTCCACTTCTGGTTTTCTGGGTGGTTTATTGGAGATAGTCTCGTGGACTTTCCTGCGCAGGCTGGCTTTGAACCGTGTTCCTCAGATCTCAGCCTCCTGAGTAGCTAGGGTTACAGGCGTGAGCCACTAGTGGCCGGCCACACTTGTCATTTATGCTCAGCTCATATTAAGAACTGAGTAAGTTCGATACTTGTTGGATCAATGGGCAATGAAAAGCTGGCAAAAATAGTGGGCCTTAAACCAAATCACATGCATTTTCCCCCCCTCTTAGGATATCTCCCCTATTGTCCTCACTGGGGTTGGAACCATAGGTCTCGCTCATACTAGGCCAGTGAAGTAATACAGAGCTGTTCTCAGCCCCAACACCTTTTAATAGTGTGGACTGTGCATATGTTTGAGAACGGCCTCCTGTGGAGCAAACCATGCAGTCAGTATTTTGTAATTTGTAGGTATAGAGGGCAAAAAATGACTTTCGTCGGTCGTGGGGCTTGAGCTAGGCCTGGGCAGCTGTCCCTGAGCTTTTTCACCTAAGGCTAGCCCTCAATCACTTTGGGTTCCAGAACCACTTCTGGTTTTCTGGTGGTGAAGTGGAGATAAGAGTCTCACGGACGGGCTGGGAAGGTAGTTCAGCGGTAGAGTGCATGCTTTGTAAGCATGAGGCCCTGGGTTCGATTCCTCAGCACCACATAAACAGAAAAAGCCGGAAGTGGCGCTGTGGCTCCAGTGGTAGAGCGCTAGCCTTGAGCTGAAGAGCTGAGGGACAGACAGCGCCCAGATCCAGAGTTCAAGCCCCATGATGGGCAAAAAAAAAAAAGAGTCTCACGGACTTTGCTGCCTGGGCCGGCTTCGAACCGGGATCTTCAGATCTCAGCCTCCTGAGGAGCTAGGATCACAGGCTCAAGTGTCACCAGCGCCGGGCAATTTTTGTCTTGAAAGTGATGGTACTGCTGTTACACGTGGGCAGATGACACCTGCTGAAGCCATCTCCAAACCAAATCATAAACCACCCAAGAGTAAACCCGCAGCTCAGATTTACCTATCTAGGCACAGGCCCCGGTATCTCGGCTTAGCCAGCTGTGAGGAATGGGCGAGGCCGCCGCAGCACGAGGCGGGCTCGGCTGCCCGGAGGGAGGGGAGAGGACGGCACACAGACCACTTACTTGACCGCCCAACTTTGCCGGACTGAAGGCGAATGCTTAGGCAGAATGCGAACCACAGAAGACCGAAGGCCAAGTGCATTGGCAGCGATGGCTTCCCGAGCCCCGCCGTACCTACCGCGCCCCGGCTGGGAGACCCTGCCTGCGTCGGGACGCCCCGCCGCACTACAATTCCCAGCGTGCATCGCGGCGGCGCCCCCTCGCGGGCGTCGGAGCTGGCGGCCGAGCTGCCCGTTCCGCCGGTCCCCGCCGGCCCTCTCGCCGCGGCGCCTTCTTCATCCCGGGATCCAGTATTTCCCAGTCCGCCGACAGCCGCTCACCTCCGTGTGGCGCGGCTGCCCCAGAAGCCGATGGGACGCCTCCCCTCCCCCGTCCGCCCCTCAGGCCTCCGCGCACGGCGCTCCCGCGGCGACGGGCTGAGCAGGGGGGGGGGGCGTTCCGGCTCCGAGGACCCCGCCGCGGCCCCGGAAGCGCCTGGGCCCGGGCGGTGGTGGCGCGGCGCCGGCGGTAATGGCTTCGGGACTGGGCGGCTGACCGCTGGGCTAGCAGTGGGCCCCGCGCCCGGCATCTCGGCGGCCGCCGCCCCAGCGCGCCCCGCACTATGGCCACTTCCGCCGCTTCCTCGGAGCACTTTGAGAAGCTGCACGAGATCTTCCGTGGCCTCCATGAAGACCTTCGAGCTGTGCCCGAGCGGCTGCTGGGGACAGCCGGGACCGGTGAGGACCGGGCGGGGCGAGCCCAGGGCCCCTCGGCGCGGTTCGGTTAGGAGGAGCTGCGTGACCACGCGCACGCGCGCACACGTCCCCCCAGGGCACGGGGTCTCCCGGAGGCCACTTGCGGTGGGCTGGGCACGCGCTCGGGGATGGACGTCAGTCCGCAGGTCATCTCTAGGTTCTTCTCCGCTCCCCCCCCCCCCGCCCCCCCGCCCCTTGGTCCCAGTGGTTTTCTTCCTATCTCCGCCCCAGCCACCTCGAAAGCAGGATTGCAGGCTCATAAATCTGTGGCAACATATTTCAATAGGATGAGGATTTGCTTGTCTTTTCCCATGCTGGGGATCGAACCCAGGGCCTCACACATACCAGGCGAGCGGGCTATCCGTAAACGACATTATTCCCCAGCTCTAGCCCAGTTTTTGTTTTATGCGTCTAAAAGCATCGCTGGAAGAGAGGTTCATAGGTTTCGCCAGATGGCTAAAAGCCCATAGCACGAAAGAATCATAACTTTTGGAGTTTGGAATGTAAGAGATTAAATGGGAGTTTGCCAAACATAGGGAAAATGGAAGGAGACCACAAAGGAATATACAAAGTTGAATAATCCCAGCTATGGAGTTTAGGGTCTGTGGGATAGTAGCAGCAGATGAGGAAAGTTAAACAGCCAGGTTGTAATCTAAATGAGACATTAAGACTTTTGGGCTTTATACAGAGAATCACAGTAAAGGATTTTAAGCAGCTGAGTTACGGATTTTTGTTTTGGAAGCACAGCGCTGATGAACAGAAAGGAAGAGGGAGGCTACAGAGAGCTTTAGGAGCCTGGCAATTGTCTGTGGGAATCTTGAGAATGAGTCTTAAATCCGAGAGGTGGTTCTGAGGCAGAAATTAAGACAACAAATATGAGAAGTGACAGAGGGCTTCAAGGTTTTCAGCATTTCAGTTGATCAGTTGGATGAATGAACTTAAGTAGATGTAAGAGAAGCATCGTTTGGATTGTGGATGAGAATGTCAAGGGTGCCTGCAGAATGGAGATGAATGATGCATTTCATTGTAGCCTGGAAAAATGTTTATTTTGCCATTAAAAATTGCTCGTAATCTTAGCTACTCAGGAGGTTGAGATCTAAGGATCATGGTTCAAAGTCAGCTCCAGCAGAAAGTCTGTGAGACTTTTATCTGTATCAAAAAACCAGAAGTGGAGCTGTCAGTGATAGACTTGAGCACGAAAGCTCAGGAACAGCACCCAGGCCCTGAGTTCATGCCCCAGGAGACAGACAGACAGACACACACTCACACACACACACACACACACACACACACACACACACACACACACACACACACACACACACACACACACACACACACACACACACACACACACACACACACACACACACACACACACACACACACACACACACACACACACACACACACACACACACACGATAACATTTATAAGCCAGGTGCTAGTAATCTTGCCTGTAATCTTAGCTACTCAGGAGGCTGAGATTTGAGAATCATGATTCAAAGCCAGTGAGGGCAAGATAGTCCATGTGACTTTTACCTTCAGTTAATCACCAAAAAGCTGGGAGTGGAGTTGTGACTCAATGGTAGAGCACTGGCCTTGAACACAAAAGGTTAGGACAATGCCCAGGTCCTGAGTTCAAGCCCTAGTAACAACCACAACAAAAATTGCATTTGTGGAGAACATGTTAATGTGAATTGAAAGGCAGAATAGTATAGCTTAAAAGCAAAAACTCTCAGTCTGGACTGCCTGGATTAAATCTATCTTGATGGCTGTATGACCTTGTAAGTCATTTTGAACAAACTGGGAAGTGGAAATAAATCATGACCTGTAACTTCACAGGGATTTTGTGAGGAGTAAATGAGATAATGTACACATTATGGGATAATGTGCCCCTAGGATACTGGGACTACAGTAAGAGCTACTAGTCGTTGTTATTAATACATGGGAAATTTGGTGTTTCATTTAAATAAACAATAATAGTAGCTTTTTCTTTTCTTTTTTTTTTTTTTTTTTTGGTCGGTCATGGGGCTTGAACTCTGGGTCTGTACTGTCCCTTAGCTCTTCAGCTCAAGGAGAGCATTCTACCATTTGAGCTACAGTGCCACTTCCCATTTTCTGGTAGTTTATTGGAGATAAGAGGCTCATGGTTTAAAGCCAGCCCTGGCAGGAAAGTCTGTGAAGAGACTCTTATCTCACAGACTTTCCTGCCCGGGCTGGCTTTGAACCGTGATCCTCAGATCTCAGCCTCTTGAGTAGCTAGGATTACAGGCATGGGCCACTGGCACCCAGCTTCTAGTAGCTCTTTTTCAATGCCTGTTTTGACTACATTTTTTTCCAGAGCACATATTCAGCACTTTACATTATGACAGTGTACTGTCTTCCTTCTATTAAAACAGTAGTTTAAGAGTAATGTGGTCCCTGAAGCAGCAGCTTCCACACTATCTGGGAACTAGTTAGAATGCTAATTCCTTTTTTTTTTTTTTTTTTTTTTGTCATGGGGCCTGAACTCTGGGCCTGGGCGCTGTCCCTCAGCTCTTTAGCTCAAGGCTAGTGCTCTACCACTTAAGTCACAGCATCACTTCCGGCTTTTTCTGCTTATGTGGTGCTGTGGAGTCAAACCCAGGGCCTCATGCATGCAAGGCAAGCACTCTATGGCAGAGACACCTTCCCAGCCCAAGAATGTTAATTCTTAAGCCCCACCTAGACTTGCTGACTCTAACTGTTTTGACAGTTTGATTTTTACAACCATGCAGGCTATTTCTGATGCTAGCTCAAGTTGGAAATCTAGATTATTAATTCAGCATTTTGTTTAATCTGTATTCTAAGCGTCTAAGACAGTGTGAGTGCAGAGCATATGCTAAGTGCTCTGTAAATATTTGTTGAGTGGGTGAATTGTTTGAAGACTATGACTTGTTGAGAAGAAAACAAATGAATATTGAAACAAAATAATTCCAGTTTTCACATTGCATTGCTTTTTTTTTTTTTTTTGGATGGTCCTGGAGCTTGAACTCAGGGACTGGGCACTATCCCTAAGCTTTTTTGCTCAAGGCTATTGCTATACTATTTTAAGCCACAGTGCCACTTCCAGTTTTCTGGTAGTTAATTGGAGATAAGAGTCTCAAGGACTGGGGCTAGGAAGGTGGCTCAGTGGTAGAGCGCTTGCCTTGCATGCCTGAGGCCCTGGGTTCGATTCCTCAGCACTACCATATAAGCAAAAAGAAAAAAGCTGGAAGTGGCCCTGTGGCTCAAGTGGTAGAGCTCTAGCCTTGAGCTGAAGAGCTGGATAGCTATTTTAGGAAGTTTTGTGGCTATGACACTAATTATCACGTGATAATTAGTAATCTACTTTATATTATATTACTATAGCATTTCTAGTCTTGGTTTTGCACCATCTGAAAAGGTTTCTTCAGAATTTCAGATGCTGAAGTCCATTCAGTTTATAGGTGAAGAAATAGATTTAGAGGGCTCTGATGCTTTTTAATTTTGTATGTTGTGGAAGCAACTGTTATCTACAAGTAGAGACTGTAGGTCTAAGAAGTGCCACACTGGGGCGCCAAAATCAAATTAACCTCATTTTTAAGATCCTAGTGAACTTGTTATTTCTAGAGATTATTTTAGTGTAGATTTATTACTTATTTTATTTATAATTTATTATTTCTAGAGATTTATTTAGTAGCTGAGATTAGTCATTCTTGGACTGGTATACAAATCCTAATTAAAGGACACCCACTTGGTTGAATATTATGGTATGCTTCCTATCACCTGGTGATATCCTATCTCAAAATACCAAAAAAAGAAGAACAAAAAGCAAATATAGAAGAAGAGATTCACTGGGAGTAGATGTGGGAACAAGAACTAGTATTGGTAAACATTCTTATTGATGTGTACTTGGGTCCTTTAAAGAAAGAGAAAAGATTGAGAATAGTTAAACTTGAAATGTTTCATAGGAAAGCTGTTGACTTGTGACCTAATATTCTTTCTTCCTAGGTAATAGGTACCAATTTTTCTCTCAGTCATTGTGAGTTCTTAGACATTTCTGAATGCCTCCTAGGGCATTACTACCCCCACCAGGACAGAAATGGGAGTGTCATGCTAAGCATAAGGAGTGGTTTTTACAAATTTGTGGAAGTTGGAATAAGTGTTTGAAATGTGCTCTTTTTCTAGAAGAGAAGAAGAAGTTAATCAGAGATTTTGATGAGAAGCAACAGGAAGCAAATGAAACGGTGAGAACAGAAAGCAAACAAGTCCTGTTTCTTCTACTTGGTATTGGCCCTTTCTATAAGTAATGTCGGAAGTGGCGCTGTGGCTCAAGCAGTAGAATGCTCGTCTTGAGCTGAAGAGCTGAGGGATAGCACCCAAGCCCAGAGTTCAAGCCCCACCACCCACCAAAAAAAAAAAGGCAAATTGGGGTAAACATTTGGGGCTGGGAAGTTGGCTCAGTGGTAGAGCGCTTGCCTTGCATGCCTGCCGCCCTGGGATTGATTCCTCAGCACCCACATAACCAAAAAGAAAAAAGCCGGAAGTGGCGCTGTGCCTCAAGTGGTAGAGTGCTAGCCTTGAGCTGAAGAGCTGAGGGACAGCGCCCAGGCCCAGAGTTCAGGCCCCACGACCGGACCCAAAAAAAAAAAAAAAGTTATAAGTAATGTCATGTCTTGATTACAGATTACCTATTCCTGTCTATTTATCTTGATTTTGACTGTTTCTTTTCTTTTTTCTTTTTTTTTTTTTGCCACTTGTGGGGCCTGAACTCTGGGCATGGGTGCTGTCCCTCAGCTCTTCAGCTCAAGTTTAGCACTTTATCACTTGAGCTACAGCACCACTTACAACTTTTTCTGCTTATGTGGTGCTGAGGAATCAACCCAGGGCCTCATGCATGCAAGGAAAGCACTTTATCACTGAGCCATCTTCCCAGCCCCTTGACTATTTCGTAATAAGTGAGATGGTTATTGAAAGGGGCTGACAAACCGAAATAAGCAACATAGTAGCTGGATTTGGTTCCTTGGATAAGATTTGTATGAATCTGATGAGTTGTCATAGTTGTTACTTAAAGCCTTGTCAGAAATCAGTTGCTGATTTCTAATTTCTGCTGATTTCAGAAATCTGGTTACTATTTATTTTGTTCTTGTTGGGACTTGAACTCAGGGCCTGGGCATTATCCCTGAGCTCTTTTTGCTCAAAGTTAGTGCTCTACAACTTTGAGCCACAGCTTTACTTCTAGTTTTCTGGTGGTTAATTGAAGATACGAATCTTGTGCACTTTCCTGCCTAGGCTGGCTTTGAACTCTGGTCCTCAGATCTCAGCCTCCTGAGTAGCTAGGATTACAGGCATGAGCCACAAGCACTCTGCTTTTTTTTTTTTTTTTTAAAATTAATGCTGGGATTAAAATTCAGTCTGTTACTTATAAGGTGGGCACTCCAGTACTTGAGCTATACTTGTAGCTCATTTGCTTTGGTTATTTTCGCGATGGGATTTCTGCCTTTGACTGGGCCAGCCTAGATGTTGATCCTTCCTATTTATGCTTCTTGTTGTAGCTGGGATAACATATACACCAATTTTTTTCTGTTCAGATGGAGTCTCACAAACTTTCTGCCTAGGTTTTGCCTTGAACTGTTATAAGTACTCCTGATCTCAGTCTCCTGAGTAACTGTGATTATAGGCATAAGCCAAAGCATGCAGCACAATCTGTGTGTTTTTGTGGGGTTTTTTTTTTTTTTGCCACTCGTAGGACCAGAACTCTGGGCCTGTGCACTGGCCCTAAGCTCTTCAGCTCAAGGCTAGTGCTCTGCCACTTGAGCCACAGTGCCACTTCTGGCTTTTTCTGCTTATGTGGTGCTCAGGAATTGAACCCAGGGCCTCATGCATGCAAGGCAAGCACTCTATCACTGAGCCACCTTCCCAGCCCCAATCTGTGGCTTTTCTTTATGGGAGAAAATTGTGCTCTGATGAAAGGAAGAGTTCTGTACTCTAGCTTCAGCAAACCCATTAAAATGACTGCTAAAAATCCAAGTCCTTAGTAATACTCTGAATAAATAATACCCACTTTTCTGGGTAAAGTGGCTCACGTCTGTAATCCTAGCTACTCAGGAGGCTGAGATCTGAGGATCAAAGCCAGCCCAGGCAGAAAAGGCTGTGAAACTCTTTATCTCCAATAAACCACCAGAAAAATAGAAGTGGCATTGTGGCTTAAGTGGTAGGGCCTTAGCCTTAAACTGAAGAGCTGAGGGACAGTGCTTAGGCCCAGAGTTCAAGCCCCATGACCAACAAAAACAAAAAAAAATAGCTACCCCTAACTTTTGTTATAATTATAAGCTGAGGGAAAAATTTCTTTTTAAGCCAAAGAACTTTCTTCTGGTTGAAGACCAACTTCCTAGTTATCCCACAGAAATTGTGACAGCTTAAGCTTATCTATATCTTTTTCTCATTCTTCATGACCAGAAGAACGGTTCAGACCACTAGACTGTGGAAACCATCTCCTTGTAATGTACAGGACACTTCCTAATACCGGTATACAGCTGGGCAAATCCTTGATACCAGTTTTGTAACCCGTCTTTCTTTTAGTTAACATATTAATAGCATTTTTTAAATCTCGCCACTACCAGTTTGTTTGATGTTTATGTATTTTCTCTGAACTTAGCGAAATTAATGATTTTACTCTGTCCACCTTAGGCAAATAAAAGTGCTATTTGGGGTAGTCTGGTTTTGAGTTCTAATTAGATACACAGGTAAAAGGGGAGAATCAAGCCACCTACTTATTATTTTCTGTCTTCCTAGCTGGCAGAGATGGAGGAAGAACTACGGTATGCACCCCTGTCTTTCCGTAACCCCATGATGTCTAAGCTACGAAACTACCGGAAGGACCTTGCCAAACTCCATCGGGAGGTGAGGACTACACCTTTGACAGCCACACCTGGGGGCCGAGGAGACATAAAGTATGGCACATATGCCTTAGAAAATGAACATATGGTAAGTGTTTCTGCAGTTTTAAAGAAAAGAATAAACAAGAATTAAACATATTATGAAGTATTGTTTGCATCCTCAGTGCATACTGAATTTTTGTGGGTTTTTCTTTACCTTTGTCCTCTTTCTTGCATCTAGTTTGCATTCTCTCCTTTGGTGCCTGGTCATTTTAATTCTGGTCTTGTATATGCTGTTTTAGATTTCATTGTATAGATAAATGAGTAGGTAGGTAGGTGGATAAGCAATAAGACAGAGTGGTTTGTGTGTTAATACCAGTATTATCTGTTCTTATCTAGACTTATTGATCTAATTTCTTCTTGAGCTTTCGTTATTTCATGTAAGTTTTAGGATCACTCATGTATGTAGACTTTCATTTTTGTTTTTGTTTTGTTTGCTGGTACTGGGGCTTGAATTTAGGGCCTAGAGCTATCAGCTTTTTTGCTCATAGCTGCCACTCACTTGAGCTATACCTCTTAGTTCAGCTTTTTTGTTGGTTAATTGGAGATAGTCTTGAGGATGCTCTGCCTGGGCTAGCTTTCATAGCAAGCCTCAAATCTCAGTCTTCTAAGAAGTAGCTAGGATTATAGGTGAGAACCACTTGCACCTGGCTTCAGTTAGACTATTTATTCTTATATCCAAGACTGGGACTCAAACTCTGTATCTGAGGCTTGCTTTTGTTCATTGGCTTGCATTCTATGACCTGAGCCATGCCTCCAACCCGAGTTAGGGGTTTTTTTTGTTTTAAGGTAAACAGAGTAAGTTTATTTGAAAGTGAAAGGAAAGCCAATGAAGAAAGCAAGCAGAAACTCTAGACAAAGAAGGTCTTGCAAAGAGGAGCCCCCATATAGATTTTTAACTCTTTTTTGAGATGGGGTCTTATTTTGTTTTCTGCCCAAGGCAACTCTTGGCCTGAAATAATCCTCCTACCTCAGCCTCTTAAGTAGCAGGTTAACTAGGTTTTTAGTTTATCAGGAGTATTAAGCCAGGCAAGGTGGCTCATGCTTGTAATCCTAGCTACTCAGGAGGCTGAGATCTGAGGGTCCATTTGAAACCAGCCTGGGCAAAAAAACCCAGAAGACTCTTATGTCCAATTAACTACCAAAAAGTCCATATGGAGGTGTGGCTCAAGCACTAGACTTGAGCAAAAAAGATCAGGAGCAGTACACAGGCCCTCACCCTACATTTAAAAAAAAAAAAAAAAAAAAAAGAAATGCGTATTGTTACAAAATTAAGCCAAACTTGCTTTACTGTAGTTTCAAGATGGCCCACAAGGAAATACAGGAGAAAAGCAGGGTGTGTCTCAGTAGTAGTTTTTCTTTTTTTTTTTTTTTGGTCCGGTCATGGGCCCTGAACTCTGGGCCTGGGCGCTGTCCCTCAGCTCTTCAGCTCAGGGCTAGCACTCTACCACTTGAGCCACAGTGCCACTTCCGACTTTTTTCTTTTTGCTTATGTGGTGCTGAGGAATTGAACCCAGGGCCTCAGGCATGCAAGGCAAGTGCTCTACCACTGAGCCACCTTCCCAGCCCCCAGTAGTAGTTTTTCTTACACCCTATCCTGTTGTAATGGAGAGTGAACCAAATTGCCAAATTGCTTTACATTCAAAATACTGATTTATAAAATGTACTAATTGAAAACCTATATTCTGAAGTTGTCTTGAGAAATTGGGTAGTTAAGGAAATAAAACTTAACTAGATTAAACTTAATGTATTGTACTTGTATCATATTCCACAAATATAGTATGAAGTAGAAATGGTCTGCTAAATAGCACAAAAGAGAAGTGGAAAGGGTCCACTTCTGAAAACTGAACATATAGAAAGGGTGGTAATAGGATTTCAAACAAATGCTATTTCATGATGCATCTTTATTATAGTTTTTAAAACACTGAGAATGATAGTAGGGTGACATTCTGATTCAAAACAATCACAATCATTTGTGAATGATGTAACTCAAATGATCCATGAAATCTCTAGTGAAGAAACTAGTGGGAAGGTAGTTCAGGGGTAGAGTGCTTGCCTTGCATGCATGAGGCCCTGGGTTCGATTCCGCAGCACCACATAAGCAGGGGGGGAAAAAGCCGGAAGTGGTGCTGTGGCTCAAGTGGTAGAGCACTAGCCTTGAGGTGAAGAGCTGAGGGACAGCGCCCAGGCCTAGAGTTCAGGCCCACGATTGGACCCCCTTCACCCCCAAAAAAGAAAAAAAAACTTAAAGAGGCAAGTAGAGCTTGTTAAAAATAAACATTGTAAAAGCAGCTTTGGTCATTTGTTACAAAAAGTAGCCATGAAAATTCCTATTTTCTAAAATTATTTGATCAGAAGTTATAAAAATGTTAGAGAAATGACTAATGTAACTAGCTGTATTTGAACCTTATTCAGTGGTTTCTTATCATCTACATGCTGTTTGTTAAGTGAAAATACTTGATGTTCTACTAGGAATATTTTTTCTTATTTTTTGGTGCTGAGGTTTGAACACAAGTGTTTGAGTTTGCTAGGTTTATTGCTGGACCAGGCCTCCAGTCCTAATTTTTGCTCCTTATTGTTGGTATAGTTTCTAATTTTCTGCTTGGACTAACCTTAGTCCACAGTCCTCTCATGCTTTGCATTCTGTAGGATCAGTGCCCAGTTAGGAATTCACTTCTTGATAATTCCTCGTTGTCATCTGTTCTCTATGCTTAGCTCCGTAAGCTAGGCCCCTGTGATGTATACTTTGAACTTGATGCTGTACCTCTGTTTTGTAAAATTGTTAATTCTGGCCTGACAAAAGCTGCTTTTGTTCTCATGCTATCTGCGCTTAGGATCATAGGTAGAGTGAAACTTTGGTGGGGATTTAGAAAATGAGGGCACCTAGAAAAGCCAGGTAGTACCTTCCCTAAGACCCAATCACCATGGTAGCTTCAAAGTTTTTTGTTATTTTGGTTTTGATGTATTTGGCACAAAGTGGTAGGATTCTTTTTGGCTCATCAAGAATATAGCCATGGGGTTAGGAAGGTGGCTCAGTGGTAGAGTGCTTGCCTTGCATGAGGCCCTGGGTTCAGTTCCTCAGCACCACATAAGCAGAAAAAACAGGAAGTGGCACTGTGGCTCAAGTGGTAGAGCTCTAGCCTTGAGCTGAAGAGCTGAGGGACAGAGCCCAGGCCCAGGGTTCAGGCCTGATGACCAACCCTCCAAAAAAAGAAAAAAAAAAAAAAATATATATATATATATATATACAGCCACCACTAGGCACCACTGGCTCATACGTGTAGTCATAGCTACTCAGGAGGCATGGTTCAAAGCCATTCCTTTGTAGGGAAGTCTGTGGGACTTTTAATCTCCATTTATAGTACTGTGGCTGTAAGTGGTAGAGTGCTAGCCTTTAGCGAAAAAGCTCAAGGACCATGCCGAGATTCTGAGTTCAAGCCCTGTGACCCACAAATAAAAAAACAATATAGCCCAATATAGCCACTTTTGGTTTTGGTGGTGGTGGTGTTTTGCAGAATATAATAGTTTCTAGCTTCTAAATAATTTATGTGCTGAAAAAGAATAGTTTGTGGTCCCTGAGTCTTCAAGACCAGTCATGTGGGAACCTTCAGAGAATTCTTTTTTTTTTGAGGGCTAGAGAGATGAGTTGATTTGTTTGTAGCACTACCAAAGTTGCAGGCTGTGTACATTATTAGGTAGCTCTCACACCTCCTAGTTTGGGCCATTTCTAGTCCAAGAGGCACATATTTATGATGAGTTTGAATTGGTCTACAGCAAAAAGGTTCCACATGTTTTTCAGTCTTTGATTTTTGCTTGTATTACAAACAGTGGCATCGCAGGACTTCTGAAAATCAAGTAGATTGGACTTCAGGTTCTGCTTTAGTATGTGACCTTTACTAGGATCTTGCACTTCATTAGCATCTTTGGTGTTTTGACCTTTTTTTTTGGTTTTTGGTTTTTTTCAGTTGTGGGGCTTAAACTCGGCCTGGGTGCTGTCTCTCAACTCTTCAGCTCAAGGCTAGTGCTCTACCACTTGAGCCACAGTGCCACTTCCGGTTTTCTAGTTTTATTTATTTAGTATTTCTATATATTTATTATTTTATTTTTATTATTATTATTATTTATTATTTCTAGGTTTATTGGAGATAAGCGTCTCATGGACTTTCTTACTCAGGCTTGCTTTGAACTGTGATCCTCAGCTCTCAGCCTCCTGAGTAGCTAGGATTACAGGTATAAGCCACCAGCGCCCGGCTTTTTTTTTTTTTTTTTTTTTTTTTTTTTATTGTAAAGCTACTATACAGAGGGTTACAGTTACATGAGTGAGGTTATGAGTACACTTCCTCTTGAACATTGTTACCCCCTCCATTGTTTTCCCCCTACCATCCCCTCCCTCCCTCCCTTCCCCGAGGTTCTTTTTTTTTTTTTTTTTTTTGATTGTGATTAAATGATTACATAATTTCAAAGTCACAAGTTCATTCTAACTTCCCTGGAGCTTTACAGGTATAAGCCACCAGCGCCCGGCTTTTTAAAAATATTTTAAAAATAAGGTTTCGTTTATGCTTTTAGTACATTTATTTTTTATTATTTTTAAACAGTTGTACCAGAGAGGTTTCAGTTGAGCAGGTCAAATTATAGGTGCAGTGCATCTTGGTCAGTGTCACCCCTTCTGTAGGTGACAGGGCTGGGATGTAGCTCAGTGGCAAAGCGCTTGCCTAGCAAGTGCAACATCCTGGGTTCAATCCCCAGTACCAAAACAGAAAAGTATCAAAAAAAAAAGTAGTAGTAGTAGTAGTGTAGTGGGGGGAGATGGGAAGGGGAAACAAAGGAGGAGGCAACAATACTTGATAAAAAATGTACTCATTACCTTGCCCATGTAATTGTAACCCCTCTCTATGGTATTTTCACAATTAAAAAGAGTGCACTTGGCACTTCATAAATCCACTGCACCTGAGTGTTCAATAGGTTTCCACCACAAGTATGTTTAATTTGCATCTGTATTAACTGAACATTTATATAGCATTTACATTGTATTATTATAGTACGTTGATGTGTAAAATAATCTAGATGTGATTTAATATATACAAGAGGATGAACATAATCTAAATAGTTCATTTTATAAAAGGGACATGAACATCTGTAGATTTAGGCATTCTTAGGGGAAGGTTTCTAGAACTATTTCCTCACAGATACAGAGGGACAACTACATTGCAAATTATTGCTTCCTGTATTCTTTTTACCTAAGGAAGTCATAAATAATATGCTGACAATAAATTTATAATGAAAAAAGTAACTTTTCCCTCCCATACTCCTGTCAGAATCGGCTACAAACTCAAAGGGCATTGCTTCTACAAGGCACTGAGAGCCTGAACAGGGCCACCCAAAGTATTGAGCGTTCTCATCGGATTGCCACAGAGACTGATCAGATTGGCTCAGAAATCATAGAAGAGCTAGGGGAGCAACGAGAGCAGTTGGAACGTACCAAGAACAGAGTAAGTCTTGGAAGATGGTGAAGGGAACAAGAATGGGAAAAGGGGTTTTAGACTATACTTGGATACCATTCTGAGGCAAAATACTACTGAAGTTTTAAATTCAGGGAATAAGTAGCCTGTTTTTTAAATTATTCCACCTTTCTCAATTTTTTTTACCTTGTTTAGCTAAGAGAAGATCTTTCTTAGAAGTAATTTTATCCATGCAATTTACACATTGTTTGAAGGTATGGCATTTGTTTTTGTTTTTTTTTGTTTTGTTTTTCCCTGGTCATGGGGCTTGAACTCTGGGCCCTGGGTGCTGTCTCTGAGCTCTTCAGTTCAAGGCAAGTACTCTTCCACTTTGAGCCATAGCACCCACCACTTCCAGTTGTCTGGTGGTTTATTGGAGATAAGAGTCTCACAGACTTTCCTGCCCAGGCTGGTTTTGAATCACAATTCTCAGATCTCAGCCTCCTCAGTAGTTAGGATTATAGGCGTGAGCCACTGGTGCCCAGCTTGTTCTTGTTATCTTAAAGACTGAAGGAACTTGTTTGTCACATTTATAAGATTGCAGCTACGCCATCTTTATTAATTGGCAAGAGAATCTGTCATATTATAATTAGTCTTATAAAAATGTCAGCTTCTGATAAGAGCCTATCATTTAGAGTGATACTTCCCATCAAGAAATAGTATCACACATAGTTTAAAAATTTATAAATTATAACTCAAACCTAGACTAACCTTTTATTGTTACCAAAGTAGGATCATTGTGGGAAGAAAATTAAAACAGGTCAAATGATGATTGTATTGGGGCCTCCTATCTACTGCTACTCTAAGAAGCTCAAAAAATAACCCATCTCGATGAGTTAATCTAGATAAGGACTTTTAAAAAATAGCAGTATGCAATATTTTTAATAGACTAAGGCAAACCCAAACTGAAAAATAACTGGCTGAGATTTGGACAGGAAAATATTAGCTCAATATGGTTGAGATTTTCTTGTACATCTTAATAACTACTAGTCCCAATTTTACGATTAATAAACGATTTCTGTCTCTTTTTAGTGAAAATTCACAGTAAATTGCTATATTCAGGGCAAGCTGTAGAGAATGCAGCTTGTATGGGTTTTGAGTTTTGAACATACTAGGTGGATTTGTTGAATTTAAACCCTCACAAAAGAGCTGAGAGATCAACTTCCCAGGACATGAAGGAATAAGAACAGATGGCAAGGAGCAGCATTGAAATACCCTCTGATTACCCGTAGAATCACTGATCAAAAGAAAAAGATCCTTTCACAATTTGATGCCTCAAAGGGTTAAAGAGAAAAGTAGCCAAGATCCCAAAAGTGGTAACATACCCACTTACAGAAACAAATGAACTCAAGAGGCTCTCCTGGAATTTGGCTGATGAAATTCAAATCTTAAGTTACATCATAGTCACTGGCCTGGTACATGAGAAGCTGTACTATTTTGAGTAACCAAGGTAATAGATTAGCCTAGTCCCAGTCTACCACTGCCACACCAGCCTGGGAGATAGTGATTCCCAACCTCCTCAGTCCGTACCACAAAGCATCTTGTCCCTTCCAGGTTCTTTGATTTGTGCTCAACAGCCATTATGTAAATTGGTTTGAATTGTTAGCATTTTCCGCACACCACCTAATGCCCACTGTTAATTTAGGGATGTTTAAATTCTATACATTACAGAGTTTTGAAAGAATTGAGAATAATTTGCTATTTTCTTTTCTCAGTTGGTAAACACAAATGAAAATTTGAGTAAGAGTCGAAAGATTCTCCGTTCAATGTCCAGAAAGTAAGTTTTTAAAAGTCAAAAATTTCAATTGAAATTTTTAATTTTTAACTCAGTATCTTTAAACTGAAAAGCTTAAAATAATGATTTACAAAGATCCTAATAACTCTCTATGTGCTGATACCACATAGTCCCTCTATACTTAATATGACCTCCCAGCATAGCAGAGGAAATAGAATATGGTTTTATATAGATAATTTTAATGAAGGAATTTATCCTGGGATATGTATGTACTGCTGTGATTTAGAACAGTGAAAAAGTTGTCTACTCAAAGGACTTATAATCTCATCTTACATCACTTGTATACTTATAGAATACATGTAGGAATAGACCTTCATATTCTTTGAAACATATCTGTAAAACCTTAATTAGAAAAGTTTTTCACTGCTATTACTTAGTGCTTACCCTTCATGGGAATCAGACCTTTTCCTGGTAATCCTTGTCTTGTTAGTAAATACACTTTAATAACAAGTTAAATGCTAACAACAAAATCATTGAGATTGAGGATGAAATTGGGGCTAGTGAGTAGTGTACATATTTTTCCCTATTGTGGAATAGGGAAAGATCTGGAGCAAAAAATGAGAACCAGAGAATGGATTCTTTGTTTCTATGTGTATGCAAACAAAAGAATAACGGAATAGAAGGGAAAAATAGGGAAGAGGTTTACAAAAAATTGAAAAACATAACCCATAAGACAGTTCTTCATCCTATCCTGTAAGAGAACCCATCCATGAGCTTGATTTTGACTTGACACTGAAGGGCCTGCTTCAATTGTTCTCCCAGTCTACACTAACTAGTATGTTTCTATATCACCAGATGATCATGAATTTGAAAGTGCAGATTTCAAAGAGAACGAGGTTGTGTGCTTTGCTATTTATTGTCCTGGTTTTCCAAACTTCTTTGAGGGAGTCAGTGCTACTAAGTTAGGGCTAAAGAACTTACTGCTAAGTAGCTGTGTAACAAAACTCAGTCTGCTTCACAGTACCAGCCTTAATCCTAGGTAAAATACTAAGCATTAGGACAGCAAGAAATGAGGTTGTTCAGACTACTGACTACTACATACTATGTTTCACTTTGTAGAGTAACAACCAACAAGCTGCTGCTTTCCATTGTCATCTTGTTGGAGATAGCCATCCTGGGAGGCCTGGTTTATTACAAATTCTTTCGCAAGCATTGAACTTCTGTTGGGGAGTGTTTGTGGACCAGAACCTTGACCCTGTGAATGAATGGTGTCAGGGATATGGAAATAAGTATGTTGCTGCTTTGGGCTAATCATTCAAGGATGTACTGTGTTGCCAGACTGGGATGAGGGAGGGCGACAAAACCACGTAAATGTGAAGGAACAACAAGACCACTATGATATACCAAGGTAATAAATGCTGTTTATGTCTTCTTCAAATTTACATAGTATAACATTAATGCCTTGTGAACTTCAAAAAACCAAATACATTTACAGAAATATTATTGGTCACCAAAGTGGAGAGGTGAAATTTTACAATTGTGAGAATGCACAGGGTTCTCATTAAGGCAGTATTGACCAAGACAGCTGTTTAGTATGTCCCCTTAACTCGCACCTCTGGAATGCCCATTGTGAAATGTGTCAGTGCACAGTGGTTCTAAATTCTCACACATTCTTTATTTTCTGATTCATCTGGTGAACTGGGAGTAGGAAGTTGGTCATAGACAATGTGCCCTCCTTCCCTTGTCTGACCAAAACTTGAAGCAATTACATCCACTGCCAGGCTAGCTGTAGCTTTTGCCTCTTCCTCTGAAGCAGCTAGCCAAGGATTGACTTCAACCAGATCCAGTGCCGACAGCAATCCTGGAAGAACAAGATATAATGAAACCTCCGAAATGTCCTCTTAGCTGCTACTTTCAGCTTTCCCAACTGGTAAAACCCAGTCTGTTTGCAATGTGAAACTGTCAGAAGGCCTTTTGTACCTCATCCTCTTGTGGCAATGAAGCTAAGTAAAACACTGCATGTTAGAGTAGGACTGGAAGAAAATTTTAATATAATAAAACATCTCTCCCTGCCCATCTAACATAACAGGCCTTCCTATCAAGCTTTTTGATGCTGTATCTGTGGTTCCCTTTAACTCCCACAAGCTGGGGATTAAACCAAGAGCTTTCAGGTGTTAAGCACATACTGTTCCACTGAACTACATCTCCAGCCCTGTTGATATCTCTTAAATCACCATGCCACATGCCTCGAATAGTAGTAGCCCTGAATAGTTGTCAGTACTGGAAACTTTGTGTTTTTTTTTTGTTTTTTTTTTTGGGGTCCCGTCGTGGGGCCTGAACTCTGGGCTTGGGCACTGTCCCTCAGCTCTTCAGCTCAAGGCTAGCACTCTACCACTTGAGCCACAGCGCCACTTCCGGCTTTTTGCTTATGTGGTGCTGAGAATTGAACCCAGGGCCTCAGGCATGCAAGGCAAGCGCTCTACCACTGAGCCAACTTCCCAGCCCCAGAAACTTTGTTTTGAGATGGGTCTTGGTAGGGATCTTGATAGTTAGTTAGCCTAAGCTACCTCAAACTCCGTTCTCCCACCTTAGCCTCTGAGTGGTGGGCTCACAGGTCTGCACCACATATTCAGCCCAAACTTTCTTGCCCTTTGATGTCAAGTTCTGAGTGCAGATGCCTCATGTAACACATTTCTCATGTCTTACAGAAGGCTAAGCATCTTGGCACTTGGTCATCAGAAAATTCCACCATATATATATACATATATACATGTGTATATATGTATATGTGTATATGCACACAAATAAATACAAAAATATACCCAATGTATATACGTATATGTACGTACATATACACATGTATACACATAAATAAAGATATGAATATGTCTATATATATCTTTATTTTTATTTATTTGTGGTGGTATTGGGAGTTTGAACTCAGGGCCTTGTGTTTAGTTTTCTTACTCATTTGGCACTCTACCATTTAAGCCATATTTCCAACCCTGCTCTTTATTAGTTATTTTAGAGATGGATTGTCATGGACTTTTTACCTTGCTTGGCTTCAACTCACAATCCTCTAGAGTTTAGCCTCTTGAGTAGCTATGATTACAAAGGTATGAACCACTAGCATCCAACTTGTGGTGTTTACATTTATTTGGACTCTAGTTACCTTCTGAAAAACTAGTATTCAAGAATATAAGTATCTGAGAATATTTAGGGTGGATATTAGATTACATCCACAATATGCTCAAAACATTATATGTGTTTTATATTCTTAGCAATGCATAGCTGACTACACCATGCAAAACTTTAGTGACCAGGGATGTTACCTTAGTATTTCCATCATTTCCGGAACATTGACCTATATCTCTGGTGAATTGTGTCTTTAGTTCCCACTGGATAAATATGTCCTTTTAGCAGTCCCAAAATTAGAAATAAGGTTTATATACATAAGATACATGTAATATTATACATGTCATACATGTAATATATATGTTTAAGATTATATATACATATATGTTTCCAGACTACTGCCAACCTACAAGTTAGTGTAAGCAAACTGTACTGATGGATCTAGTTGACAGTGTCATGATAATCAACTTGAATACTCAAATTTGGATGTGGTACTACATATCTGTAATTCCATCTGCCCAGGAAGTAGAGGAAAGAGGATTGTGGTTTGAGACTAGCCCAAGCAAAGTTAACAAGAGACCCTGTCTCAGAATATAAACTAAACTGCTAATGACATAGCCCTGGAGATGTTTAGTCCCCAGCAGATTAACAATTGTAGCAAAGGAAGGAAAAGCTAAGAAATGAACAAACACTGCCATTTCTAAGTGCTGAAGCTGTTAACTCCTCCTTAGACTGTTTTCATTGGGGAAAAATAACTGAACTCCTAAGTTCCCTGTCCACTAACCCAAAGACCACTAACAATGTATAAGGTTGTGGGTTTGAGAATGACTATCTTGCTTCTGTCAGAAAGTATTTGTCTAAGATTTTAGCAGGCTCCCAAGGTTCAGTACCCATTTCTGTCCAACTACTCAAGGGTTCTGTATAGTCCTACATCTTTGAATCTTTTTTTTGGGGGGGGTGAGGGTGGGAGGGGGTGGTCTTGGGGCTTGAACTCTGGGCCTGAGCGCTGTCTCTCAGCTCTTCAGCTCAAGGCTAGCACTCTACAGAGTGCCACTTCTGGTTTTCTGGTGGGGGATGCGGGGGGAGAAGGTTGGGGGTAGGGGGGGATTGGGTCGGGGGGGGGGGGGGAATGTTATTGGAGATAAGAGTTTCATGGACATTCCTGCCCTGGCTGGCTTTGAACTGTGATCCTCATATTTCAGCCTCCTGAGTAGCTAGTATTACAGGTGTGAGCCACCAGCACCGGCTCCTTTGAATCTTGAGTCTGTATATTTCTACCTATACCTAGTTTCTTGAAATGGTTACTGAAGCAGTTATCATGTGGTAGTTGTTTAAACTTTGGAATGAAAGGTGAGAAAGTAGCCTTAAAATCAGAAGCTTTTAGCAATCGCTTAGAAACAAGTCTGAGTTTTAGGGGACAGTTAACCACTTTCTTCCCTTTCTTGAAAGAGGGTCTATCTATTTGCCCATCCTGGCCTCAAACTCATCTTCCTACTTCAGCTTCCAGTGATAGGCTACATACAGCTGGTGCCACTCTGCTTGGCAGTAGCCATTCTTGATAATCTAGAATTCATCTAATTTGTCTACCATTCTCCAGCTGTATCCTCCTTACAAAAAGTTCTAATATAAGACATGATAGAGGGCTGGGAAGATGGCTTAGTGGTAGACTGCCTGCCTCACATGCATGAAGCCCTGGGTTCAACTCCTCAGCACCACATAAGCAGATAAAGCTGGAAGTGGTGCTGTGGCTCACGTGGTAGAGCACTAGCCTTGAGCTGTAGAGATGAGGGACAGAGCCCAGGCCCAGAGTTCAGGCTAGATAAAAGGACCAAGATATTGTCCAACTTACAGGATCTTTAAGAGAGAAGCTTTAACTCTAAATTCCCAGGGAGCTAGCTGTTATTATTAGAGTGAAAAGTAAAGTTACTTGGCCTTGCTTTTTCATCTTAAAGCTGCCTTTAGATAGCTCAAATGTGAGGGACTGCATCAGCTTGTCTATTTTATTCTATTTTTACATACTTTGGTTTGAGCTCAGAACCTAGCATTTGCTTAGCAGGTACTCTACCACTTGAGTCCCCCAACCTACTTGTCCTTCTTAGTTATTTTTTCAGGTAAGGTCTCATGTTTTTGCACTGGGACAGCATGGATGGACCGTGAATCTCCTGTCTACAGCCTCCACAGGCACATACTACCATACTTAGATTAATAGTTGAGATGGAGGTTTCAAACCAGTCCTTTCGATCTCTACCTTCCTAAGTAGCTGAGATTACAGACATGATGGCAGTTGGTTCTTGTATTGAATATCTAAGACACAACTTTTATTTAGCGTTACTTAGCATATTTATGTATATAGTTAACAGGCTGCAGACCTGGTGGTGCTACATACCTGTATTATGTATTTCTTCACTGATATACATGCCTTCTCTGTAAGTTAGTCCTCCAACAACAGGGGTTCCTGTGGCTGGAGCCAGTGTAGGGTCAAATGCATCGATATCAAAACTTAAATGGATTGGCCTTTGTCTTCTGGAAAGAAAGAGGACAAGAGAATGCATCTTTGGTTATGCCATTCTTATGATTACACCACCTTGATTTTGTGTTGTTGGTCCTGGTACTTATATTGGGTTTTTTTTGTTTCGTTTTTGTTTTTTGTTTTTGTCAGTAGTGGGGCTTGAACTCATGGCCCAGGCGCTGTCCCTGAGCTTTTTTGCTTAAGGCTAGTATTCTACCACTTTGAGCTACAGCACTATTTCTGGTTTTCTGGTGATTATTTGGAGATGGGAGTCTAACGGACTTTTCTCCTCTGTCTGGCTTTGAACCACAGGTATGAGCCACCAGCACCCAGCTTGGAGTTTATACTAATACAGCATATTTCTAAGTTTGCTGTTCTTGGAAGTTATTGAAATTAGCATATTTTTTTTTTTTGGGTCCGGTCGTGGGGCCTGAACTCTAGGCCTGGGCGCTGTCCCTCAGCTCTTCAGCTCAAAGCTAGCGCTCTACCACTTGAGCCACAGTGCCACTTCCGGCTTTTTTTTTTCTTTTTGCTTATGTGGTGCTGAGGAATCGAACCCAGGGCCTCATGCATGCAAGGCAAGCACTCTACCACTGAGCCACCTTCCCAGCACCAGCATATTAGCTTCTTATACCTAGTTCATATTATTGCCTTTCTGTATTCCTCAGAGTAACTTCAATGCATATTTCTGGCTTACGCTAGGCATTAGAGCCTCTTCCACTAATAAACAGGTCAAGGGAAGTCTTCATTTCCGTGTAAAGTTGGGCTCTTATACACTAAACTTGATCTGTATTATATATTACATATGTTAATACATAACATAATAGCTGATTATTATCTGGACATGATTCTGATTTTCCATCTGCAAACTTATCTTACAGTTCCAATTTTAGTGCATGTGTAATGGCTGAAACTATAACATAATTTATGTTAGATAGCCAACTTTTTTTTTTTTTTTTTTGGTACTGGAGTCTGAACTCAGGGACTTGTGCTTGCTAGGAAAATGCCCTACTACTTGAACAACACCCCTAATTCCTACTAAATTTCTTAACATTTTAGATATACTACCAGATAGTATATCTGACATTAACCACTCAGAAGTAAAGACTTAGTATTGGGAAAATACTCTGTAAGCTAGCATTTGGTCTTCCTACTACCCTACCACGATTTGCTCCGTATGAGATCATTGGAATGATCAATGCTTCTCATTGCAAACAGTAACTATGAAAATGGAAGTAAAGAGAAAATCATGAGCGACAGAATTATGACACTGACTTAAAGGAAACCTCTTCTCAATCCCAGAGGATGAACCTAGTATCTATTTTATGTTATGTCTTTCTGAATTATTTGCAAATTTTATATGTAAGTGATTTGCTTTTATTTTAAAAGTAACTACACTCCAGAGACAGTCAGATGTACTGCTCATTGGAAGTTTGTTCTGTTCTTCTACCACCCCCAGAGGTAGACTTGCATTGCAGTTACTTACTTGCCAATCAGCAGATCAAATGTCTGTTCCATGACCTTTTGAATACCAAGTCGATCAATGTCTCTCATGGAAAAATACTGGATATCGTAGTTCTTTAAAATAAAACTAATGAGATACAAAGAAAGGAATTTTTAGTTTAAAAAATAGTTTTAGCTATCATATGGGAGGGTAGCTCCAACAGATTATGTCAAACATTAAATAGGAACATGAGTAGCTAGGACAGGCTTAAACCTAATGTGTCAACTTACTGTTCAGGAGGGTCCACATCTCTTAGGCCAATGTACACAATATTTGGGGAAGAGATACAGGGTTTGATCCAAGAAAATCCTGGGAGTTGTGGTACCTGTGATGAGAGTTAAGAACAGGTTAGTCAAGAATTCGACACAGTTCAGTCCCAAGGATATGCAGTTGCTTTTTTCTATTGACAGTGAATGTTTAAAGACAACAATGAATTTTTTTTCTTTTTTTGTTGGTTGTGGGGCTTTATCTCTGAGCCTGGGTGCTGTCCCTCAGCTCTTCAGCTCAAGGCAAGCTCTCTACCACTTGAGCCACAGCGCCACTTCCAACCATACTTGAATTAGTAAAGAAAACTAACACAAATGGAAATTTCCAAAAGGCAACTGCAAATCAGTATAGTTTTCTCAGGAAGAATGAAAACTCTTAAGATAGCATGTTTCGGGCTGGGAAAGTGGCTCAGTGGTAGAGCGCTTGCCTTGCATGCATGAGGCCCTGGGTTCAATTCCTCAGCACCACATAAGCAAAAAGAAAAAAGCTGGAAGTGGCGCTGTGGCTCAAGTGGTAGAGCGTTAGCCTTGAGCTGAAGAGCTGAGGGACAGCGCCCATGCCCAGAGTTCAGGCCCCACGACCAGACCAAAAAAAAAAAAAGATAGCATGTTTCTCATAAACTTAAATAGCAGAAATATGTCGATTGTTCCTTTTCTACCTCTTAGTACATTATAGAGCTATTTACAGATTGGTTCTTTTTATTATTATTGTAATGATACTGTACAGAGGGGTTACAGTTACATTAGTAAGGTAATGAGTATATTTCCTACCGAGCATTGTTACCCCTTCCTTTGTTTTTCCCCTACCATCTCTTCTTACCCTACCTCTCCAACTCCTCCCTTCTCCATCCCAAAGTTGTAAAGTTCGTTTTCAATGTAGTGTCTGCAGATTGGTTCTTAAAAATGGTATAACTCAGTTGCAAACAGTCAAACAAATTCTGCCTAGTGAACAATCTTTCCTAAATCATCTTTTTGTTGGTTGTGGGGCTTGAACTCTAGGCCTGGGCACTTTCCCTGAGCTCTTCAGCTCAAAGTAAGCACTCTACCACTTGAGCCATAGTGCTACTTCTGGTTTTCTAGTGGTTACTTGGAATAAAAGTCTCACAGACTTTCTTGCCTGGGCTGGCTTTGAACCGCAATTCTCAGATCTCAACCTCCTGAGTAGCTAGGATTACAAGGCATGAGCCATTGTCTTCTGGCCTCCTATATCTTTAATGAATAATCTGACTTCACTCAACTTGGTTTCTCACTGAGGGGAAGAATACACAAATTCTAGTTTGCCTAAAATGGACTTCCATGTCTTTGAAACAGTTCAGGAAAATATTACCCACATGTTATTTTGGTGTCACCTTCTAGAACAGTATACCTGAGAAATGTGGCCTAGAAGTCTAACCAGTAAGTCTTCAGGCTGTGGGAGTATCTATCACTGACTGCTCATTACCACCACTTTTCTTACAATAGCCCTGAGAGTCAACCTTGTCCTAGGCATCTTTACACCTCTAGAATGACTGGCCCATAATAGTGATGAATGAACAAAGAAATAGTGATAAGCCACATTCTACCCATCCTTTGCTCAAAACTCCAAGACAGCCCAGCAAGTTGTCACTTTTCTTGTCTTGGCCCACTAACCTTGTCCTGTAGTTCTCGGAGGAGAAATGAAACTGGCTGCCCATGAAGATTTCCTGAAGCAGTAGTGAGAGGTGTGTTTATGTCAGCATGGGCATCAACCCAAATGACACACAGATCAGGGCAGTGTCGGGCGTGGCCACTAATGGTACCAATTGCCAGGCTGCAAAGGACAAATACAATAAGTAATCTTCAAGGTCCTCTGGCAAACTACCAGTAACAATAACTTCAGCCAATATAGCTCTTATACTCTGTCCTTAGGGCAAAGTTGGGGCCTGGATTAAAGCTGGGTTAGGCTGAGAGAGTCCCTTGGTTTGAGTTACCACAGATTAACCTTGAGTAGATTAGACAAGGAAAAATACAGAACACTAAAGATGCAGTGCTGATGACTGGCTGTCTGCAGTGTGACATATGGATGCTAATTGCTGTTCACCAAATCCATGTTTATTTGATCCATTAGTCCTGGTCAAGAAAAGGACCTCAAATATTGATTAAATGAATAAATCCAGTTAAATGATTGGTCTATATGTAGCAACTCACAAAAATGGTGCTTATTAGCACCATTACAAACTCCCACATGTTAGTGCACCATGATAGATATTCATAAGGGGCACCAGGGAGATTTACTTCTAATGTCCAAAGAATCAGATTTTATTTTTTTACATAGGGTCTTGCAATGTTGCCCAAGTTGGTCTCATGTTCATTGAGCTGAGGTATTCCTTCTACTCTACCCTCTCAAAGTAGATGGGAATATAAGCATATAACAACCACATACAGCTTCTATGAACTTTGAATGCTGCTGTTAGGGCTTGAACTTTTGCTCAGCTTTCTTGCTCATGCTGGCATTCTACTACTTGACCCGTGCCTCCATTTTAGAGTCAGCTGGACCTTCCTAGCCAACCACAACCTTATAGGTCTCAGCCTCCTGAGTAGCTGGGATTATAGGCATGAATCACTAGGGCCCAAGGTCTTAATAAGGATAAAATTAGGAAGTAGGACTAAGGGTGTAGGCTCATTGGTAGAGCACTTGCTTAGCATGCATGGGATCCTGAGTTATATCTCCAGCATATCTTTCCCCCTCCCTCCCACCCTTCTCCCCCTCCTCTCTCTCTCTATCTCTCTCTCTCTCTCACACACACACACACACACACTAAAATTCACATGTCAAGATTTTTAGACATTAAAATAATGGTGTATCCCCAACTAATGATCTCACCAATTAAATCAAAATAAAACAGATTTGTGATGTAATCTAACATACATTGCCATGGCATTCAGATTGCTCAGTGCGGGCTGGGAAGGTGGCTCAGTGGTAGAGTGCTTGCCTTGCATGCCTAAGGCCCTGGGTTCGATTCCTCAGCACCACATAAGCAAAAAGAAAAAAGCCAGAAGTGGTGCTGCGGCTCAAGTGGTAGAGCGCTAACCTTGAGCTGAAGAGCTGAGGGACAACGCCCAAGCCCAGAGTTCAGGCCCCACAACCGGACCCAAAAAAACAAAAAACAGATTGCTCGGTGTTTCTCTGTTTTTGTTTTCCTTGTTCTTGAGCTCTGCTTTTAACAACCACCTGTCCTATCTCCACCATTGCTGTGATACCATCAGTTCTCAATAAAATACATGCTGATCCATTCTAAAACAAAGTATCAAAGGACTGGCTGTATGAGTCACCTAGGATTCATATTGTGGAAGGCAGAATACCAAGGGTATTCGATTATCAGAATGCTAACAAAAAATACCTAGATTCAGTCTTTTGATGAATCTTTTTTTTTTTTTTTTTGTCGGTTGTGGGGTTTGAACTCTGGGCCTGACCGCTGTCCCTCAGCTCTTCAGCTTAAGGTTAGTGCTCTACCACTTGAGCCACAGTGCCACTTCCGGTTTTCTGAGTGGAGATAAGAGTCTCAGGGACTTTCCTGCCCTGGCTGGCTTTGAACTGTGATCCTCAGATCTCAGCCTCCTGAGTAGCTAGGATTACGGTGTGAGCCACCAGCGCCCGGCTTGATGAATCTTAATTCTCCAAAACAGCTAAATGAAAGTCTTAAAGACAGTCTCCCAAGAGCTTTCCAGGAGATAGCATTTAACAAAGTGACTAAACCATTGCGTCAGCTCCCTCTGCACTTGCTGTGTTGAATGCACATCCTCTTACCAGACAGTGTATTAAAGCAGTCCACATAGTACCTCCAGCAGCTCATGATCTTACACATTAAAACACTGATACGTGCAGCATGCATTAAAAATTCTGTAAGTGAGGAGACTGAGGTCAGCCCAAAGGAATATGTAATTCATGGCTTCTAGCTTACCTGTGGTCTCCTCCCACAGTGACACAGTTATAGCCACTGGATACTGCTCTGCTAACCACCTCAGCCAGTTCCTGGTTGGCAAGGCCCACAGAACGTGGATTCACTATGAGGTTGTTGTAGAGATCGTCTTTGGGGACTGGAGTAAAAGTCAAATCTCCAAAATCTTTTAGGTGGCAGCCTGGAAACAAATGATGACAAAATAAGTTGTATTCCAACTCCTACTGGCCTGGATCACAATAGGAACTTGTGACAAAGTACATGCCATACTCATATTGTCACAGTACAATTCAAAATGTCACATGACTGGCAGGATCATCTAAATTACCCCTATCATGGATACTGTTTTGCACAAACTAGATTTTAGACAGTAAAACTCTTAACATATTCATATAAACCTAACAATCACTATAAAGGGAAACAAGTAATGTACCAGAATAAGCAACAGGATTTAAAGAAAATTAAGTATTGTTACTTTAGAAGAAAAATACAGAAATTCTCAAGTTTTTTCTTTTTCCCTTCTTTGTCGTTTGCAGGACTTGAACTCTGGGTGGGCCTGGGTATTGTTGTTTCTGAGCTCTTCAGCTCAAGGCAGTCACTCCACCACTTGAGCCACAGTGCCACTTCCAGTTTTCTGGAAAATTAATTGGAGATAAGAGTCTCATGGACTTCCCTGCCCAGGCTGGCTTTGAACCGTGACTCTCAGATCTCAGCCTCCTGAGTAACTAGGATTACCAGTGAGAGCCACCAGCACCTGGCTCATTTTTTTCTAAAATACAGAGGACCTAAAGCATATTTAAAGAAATATCTAATATTTACTGATTATTTACAAGGCACTTTTTCTTAACCTTTATTTTTTTATTTTTTTTAACAGAAGCATTTACTGAGGATATTTTACAAGAATATTAAAAATACAGAGGTTTACATACTTTTGTTTCTACACATAATGGACTCAAATCTGTTGGGATTAATAAAATTAGTCATTATGGCAATTTGAATATATTATCAAAAAATAAATATAACCTTCAGTCATCTTGTTTTCTAACTTCTACCTATACTCAATTAACCTTTATTTTTTATTTTTATTTTTGGCCAGTCCTGGAGCTTGAACTCAGGGCTTGGGCACTGTCCCTGAGCTTCATTTACTCAAGCTACCACTCTACCACTTGAGCTATACCACTTCCAGCTTTTTCTGTTTATGAGATACTGAGGAATTGAACCAGGGCTTCATGCATGCTAGGCAAGCACTCTACCTCTAAGCCACATTCCAAGCCCCATATTTCTTATTCTCTGGGCTGGGAAGGTGGCTCAGTGGTAGAGCGCTTGCCTTGCATGCATGAGGCCCCAGGTTCAATTCCTCAGCAACACATAAGCCAAAAAGGTAAAAAAAAAAAGCCGGAAGTGGTGCTGTGGCTCAAGTGGTAGAGTGCTAGCCTTGAGCTGAAGAGCTGAGGGACAGCGCCCAGACCCAGAGTTCAGACCCCAGGACCAGACCACCCCCCAAAAAAAAAAAAATCTTATTTTTCTAAGCACTGTTACAACTGCATAATATATATATTTGTTGGTCGTGGGGCTTGAACTCTGGGCCTGAGCGCTGTCCCTCAGCTCTTCAACTCAAGCCAAGCGCTCTGCCACATGAGCTATAGCGCCACTTCCAGTTTTCTGGTGGTTTATTGGAAAAAAGAGTTTCACAGACCTTCCTGCCCTGGCTGGCTTTGAATCGTGATCCTCCGACTTCAGCATCGTGAGTAGCTAGGATTACAGGCATGAGCCACCCGCCCCTGGCTGCATAACATTGTGTGTGTGTGTGTGTGTGTGTGTGTGTGTGTGTGTGTGTGTGTGTGTGTGTGTGTGTGTGTGTGTGTGTGTGTGTGTGTGTGTGTGTGTGTGTGTGTGTGTGTGTGTGTGTGTGTGTGTGTGTGTGTGTCACTGGGTTTTACTCTGGGCCTTCTGTTTTCTAAGTGGTGGTTCATGGTGCTGAGCTACACCTCCAGCCACCCGCCCCTGGCTGCATAACATTGTGTGTGTGTGTGTGTGTGTGTGTGTGTGTGTGTGTGTGTGTGTGTGTGTGTGTGTGTGTGTGTGTGTGTGTGTGTGTGTGTGTGTGTGTGTGTGTGTGACACTGGGTTTTACTCTGGGCCTTCTGTTTTCTAAGTGGTGGTTCATGGTGCTGAGCTACACCTCCAGCTGGTTATTTGCTGGGGTTTGCTGTTTGTTTTGGAGTTAGTGTCTTGCTTCCTACTTGTGTGTTCACCTGGGCATGATCTGCCTGTTAAGCTTCTTGTCCTAGTAAGATGAATGTACTGCCACATCCACCTCTCCATTGAGAGGGTGGTTTTGCAAATGTCTCTGCCTAGTCTGTCCTCTGCCTCCTCCCAATCTCAGCCCCTCAAATGGCTAGGATTACAGCTGTGAGGGACCAGAAGCACAGAGAGGTAATCTGCCTGAAGCCACATAGCTGCTAAGTGCCAGAATTAAGATCTATGTCTAAGTCTTCTGGCTCAAAAGTTCATATTATTTACTTTGTAGATTGTCTCCCCGCAAAATATCTCCTGGTTGTAATGCATTAAGCACTAGCAATATAGCTGACAGCTTTGCATGTTTTCCCACCTATATTTAGGATGAGGATCTGAATCAGGGAATTAAATGTTAGATTCCCTAGTTCCCAAACTAGTATCTAGATTTGGTATGTCTTTTTTTTTGTTGGGGGGGGGGTAGGTGGGAAATGTTGGAGTCACATGGTATGATATATGACACCATACATCTGAATATTCATTCATTAAAGATGTGGATTAACACCAACATGGATTCATCCTGATTTCAGATTGCACAATTTTGAATTTTTCTCTTGAACCCAAATTCAATCCAAAGCAAAATTTCTGAGAGAATGTAAAAATTTAAGAAGCAGTAACGTGGAACATAAACCTATAAAGGCCAACAGTGATCTGGAACATTAAGATTAATCAATGTATCACAAAAAAGGCATGTTGGAAGCAAAACAGAAAACCTTTTCCTATTCTCAAAAGTGTACCTGCAGCTAGAATTCTTTATCTGTTGTACTATGAAAGATCATCATAAAAGCCCCCATGTAGATGACTAAAGGAGAGAAGGAAGTGCAAGTATATAAGAAAAAGAATATGACAATAAGCCAAAGACAGTGGAAGAGAAAACATCTATAAAAGTCTCAGTTTATTTTTTAGCATTGGGACTTAAACCCAAGACCTCACACTTGCTAGACAAATGTGTACTACCAAATTACCAAAAAAAAAAAAAAAAATCTGGGCTGGGAAGGTGGCTCAGTGGTAGAGCGCTTGCCTTGTATGCATGAGGCCCTGGGTTCAATTCCTCAGCACCACATAAGCAAAAAGAAAAAAGCCGGAAGTGGCGCTGTGGCTCAAGTGGTAGAGCGCTAGCCTTGAGCTAAAGAGCTGAGGGACAGCGCCCAGACCCAGAGTTCAGGCCCCACGACCAGACCCAAAAAAAAAACAAACAAAACATTTAGAACATGTCTAGTGCTTCTGAAAGTATATTACAAAAGGTTTATAATATATAAATAATGTTAATATTTACCTTTGCAGACTACTTACCAAGCACTTTGTTTGATATAAATACATCCTAATAGGGTTAATATAATAAAGGGGGAAGTTCCAGTGGATAAGATAAAGGACAGCTTATATAACACACAAGTCCAGTTATAGAAACTAGGATGTAGACTCAGATAAGTGTGACTGAAAACAGCACTCTGCTCACTTGCATTTACTTATCAGAAAGCTACACTAGGATTAAACAGAACCTGGCAATATTACAGCAGTACTCCAAGGAAGAAGGACTGAAATTCAGAGAGAGGATTTAGTCATTAAATGTGCAACGCTTGGACTGGGAATTCAGCTCTGTGGTAGAATGTTCAGCATGTGTAAGGCCGTAGGTTTGATTCTCACCACCACACAGAAAAGAAGTTAACTCACAGGTTAACTCACAGCCTGGATGATGGATTCTCTGAAGATTACTCAGTTCTATTTACTCTGATTTCTGTTGGTTTCTCACTTTGGTTTCCAGATGCTGCTTCCAGACGGTATGTGCTCAAACAGAATTATGCATAGGCATTTTTGGTGATCCAGTATGTTTTATTAGCATAGTCTCTTGGCCATGAAAGCCTGATGAACTCTGCCTTATGTTTCTCGATCTACAAAGCTGAAGGCCACACTCTGCACAATCTGAGAGGTCCTCCCTGAGTAACCTGTATGACTCAACTCTGCTCTATTTTACAAGTGCCATTGAGTTCTAAAGGAGTCAGGGAGTCCACTGAGGATTGAAGCAGTCAAGAAAGGATCCTTTTAAGTAAAATTTATAGCTGCACTATTTTTCTGTGTGTTGTTCTACCCTCTTCCCTTATGAAAACAGAAAATCTTTGTAAAGTGAGTAACGGTCTACATCCTATTCCTAGGCCTAAATGCTATTTCCTCATAAGTCTTTATCTATAAACATAAGATTGTCGGTAAGAATAGTCTAAGTTGCTGTAGCAAACTACCCCAAGTGAGGGCTCAAACTCTTTAACTCATGACATCCAGAGTACCCAGTCCAGGTATTCCAAGTAGGTAGAATGCTTTTCCTCTGCAGTGATTAACGGTCAGTGGCTCTGCCATTCCTAGAGCTTTACCCTCTGTGTGGCTAAGGATAGCTTCCCCTGGTTCAAGATAGCAGGAAGGGAAAAAGCAGCAGAGAAGGCACATCTCTTTAAGGGCCCTGGCCCTCAAAATGGCACATCACTTCTATTCACATAATTGGTGGAAAATTCAGGCCTATCTAATGTAAATAAATGAGGATGCATGTGGATTGTGGTGGGCAGCTAGCAATCTGCACCATAGCAAGTATTTTTTATTCTACTGTGATCTTTCTTTTTTTTGGGGGGGGGGGGGGGGTCCCGTCGTGGGGCCTGATCTCTGGGCCTGGACACTGTCCCTCAGCTCTTCAGCTCAAGGCTTAGCGCTCTACCACTTCAGCCACAGCGCCACTCCCGGCTTTTTTCTTTTTGCTTATGGTGCTGAGGAATCGAACCCAGGGCCTCAGGCATGCAAGGCAAGAGCTCTACCACTGAGCCACCTTCCCAGCCCTACTGTGATAATCTTTTAAGAAAGAATTCAAAATATTAAAGCTGCTGGCACAAGTGGCTCATGCCTAGCT